TCTGCCATTAGTTTTGATTTGCCTTTACGGACACCACCCAGGAAGTGTGCTGGTGTTCCCATGGAGCTAACCACCACGACTCCACAAATCTTTCTCTGAGTGGCAGTCATTCAGGTACCACTGTGTGCACATGGCTATATTTTAAGGTTATTTTATCTACATGTACATTTATTCTGCAAATATCAATTCTGAGCATACTTTGCCCTCATTTAGCTATTAAACGTTATTAATGTGATCCTGCTGCAACTCTTTGCAGAGTTTTAGATCTGTTTAGCCTTTATAAACCTTGATTCTTCATAGCTTTAGTTAACTAACCATTCACATTCTTTGTCAGAATTTTTATAAAAATGTTGAACACCAGAAATCCCAGAGAAGAGTCTTGGGGCACCCTACTGGTAACCTCTCTCCACTGTAAAATTTGACCACTTGTTCCTTTGGATCATTAATCGGGTACTAAACAATGAGCTAATCTCTTCTTTTACACTGTGAGAATTTCTTAAACTTTGCCTAGGGAAATTCTTGACAGTTTTTTGCAAATTGAAGCAGTAAGAATCAGGGGAATACCCACATGCTTGCTGAGCATTCCAAAAAACTCCAACAGGTTTTTGAAAATTTACCTTCCTCTCACACAATCCATCTTAACCCTTCCCGAACTAGGAATTTGAAGGAAATCGCTGGCCCAATAAGGAAAGCTGGGAAAGAAAGGGAAAAACACACACCAAAACAAGCAATGTTGTAAAACCATTCCAATTTACAGTTTGGGTTTTTTCCCCCATGAACTCTGTAGGTTTTATCTACATTAGTAAGCAGTAGAGGGCATCAGAAATATGCTTGTAAGGAGACCTAATTGGTACCAAAGTCCCAAAACACACCTGATGTGTGTTCGGATGAGAGTTGCTTTAGACTACGTGGTGAATCTTGCCTGGACCCTTGGACTTACTGCCTATTAGTATTTGGAAAGTAGTAGGTATAGTCCCCAGGCACACCTTTCAGTATAGTTACATCCAAAGGGATTCACTATTCAGGCTCCCAGACTGTTGGAAGACACAAAGCAAAGCACAATTAAGCTTCTGAAGTAAATCTTTCAGCCCTTCCCACTTATGTCTGATCCAAACAAAAACTCTAATATGGATGTGCTTATAGTAAAAAGAAGCATAAGAGCAAAGGATTTTCCCTTTATTATACCAATTATAAATAGTGTCATTTCTTCCTCATAAAATCAGTACCTGCCCCTCTAAACCCTTGAAATCCATTACTAAGAACACACAAAAAACCTAAAAGAAATTAAGTGCCAGAATCCTATGTATTAAACTGATATTCTTCTTCACTGAGATGTCTTCAGAGGGGTTAAATATAGAAGACAAAGAACAGCATCAAAGTTACACTTGGAATAGCGTGGGTAAATGAAGGAACAGATGGAAAATCAAATTCTTGATTTATCTGGACCTGTTTCAAGTTCCAGTACTGACAGCAAGTAGCTGGTCCATCTTTGGGAAACGTATGTGCAAAAAAGATGACCCTGATTCGACAGGTTTTGTATATTTCTCACAATGTTTTTATCAATATGTTATTCTTAGAGAGCTAAAATATATTCATAGGAATGCAGAATTTGGATGACGATGGAGTTTCTACTTTTAAAAGCCTCTGAGCCAAGATATTTTGGAGATGTGATAGAATGTGTATAGTGAAAACAATCTCAATTCAGTGTATTTCCCTTCTACACTCGTACCAGCAGGTGGCAGAGAATGCACATTTTATACATATTTTTCACTTTTTTTCCCCCTATTTTACTTCAACTTAGACCTTTCAAGGTTTCACAATAAATGGAGTCTGACAGTTTTAGTTTATTTTAGTAATAATCACAAGACGATCTTTTCTGCAAATACAATAAATGTTATCCAAGAGCAATTTGGAGCAATCAGTATTGATATTTATACCATGTGTGTTGATTGAAAAGCTCTTGGCTGTAAGAATGGAATATGAATCTATCCAGAATGTTATGAATATCTTCTAGCATATGCTCGTGTGGGAGCTATAAAAGTGAGTTTATTATAATTAGTGGAAAAATAGTTTTGTTAAAAAGAGACAAGAAACTATTAGCTTCAGCAGTTCAGCTAACTTTTCTTAATCTATTCTTTGATGTTCTTATATTTACTAGGATACACTGCTCTTTAGCATTTCAATTTTTTTTTTCAATCTGAATGTGATTTTTGGAGTGTGCAAGAAAGACTATTATAAGGACAAAAACAAATCAAACCAGTAACAATGAAAAAAGAAAAAATAACTGTAGTCAGCTGGCTAATAACCGTATGCAATATTAAATTTCACGTCCTTTCCGTACACTGTCAAACAAGAGCTGTCCTGTGGAACATGGCCTAATGAACCCAGAGCCTCTTTAGTGGAATATACTTGTCCTTCAGGCCTTGAATAATTAAAGGATGCATTGTACAGCCATTAGCTAGTCAGTAGAAGAAGTTGGAAAGTGTGTCTTTCCTTACAACATCACCTACTTTCTACCTTTCACAACCATCTTTGTCAGATTGTTGGGTAGGCTGCTCCTACTTCCAGCTGAAGTTCTGCTCTACGGCATGATGCTCTCTCCTAAATGAACCGCTAATTTACCACTTTTCATATGTATTTATACGTGTTTCAGAAAGAAAATGCCTGAATAGACCTTACAATGGCAGGCACAAAATGTAGAACTCAATACGAAGATTTATCCCCTGAGGAAACTATGCCTTGCGCAATCACTAAAAAAGTATCATAAGTCATTCATTCTACAGAAAGAAAACAAACTCAAAAATCATTGCAGTCAAGAAATTTAAAAGTAATTTAAGAATTCTGCTAGTGACATGACACTAGTATTCTTCACACACACAGACACCTTATTCATTAGATGGTTCTTTTAAGGAGAACTATTTTGTGGGCTAGAGCAAGAGTCCAACAGATCAGATGTGCCTGCTTGACACCACTGAGGAATCTGCATGAGTAACGGATCCTGAGTAATTACGTAGCAGAACATGATGAACATGGTCTTATCTAGTAATCCTTCACTCAGCACAGGCAGAGCAGTTACCATCCACAAAGAAAACACATCCTTCTTTCCAAGCATTCAGGAGGAAGGGCAGTGAGGAAAAGGTGCTCCAGATCTAACCAAGGTCTCCCTGACACTAAAAAGAAGGGCTTTTTCTTATAATCACTTTTATGTTACATCCATTCTAAAAGATCCTCAGCTGATCCTCAGCCAGTCACATTTGATCACTGTCCAATAGCATTTTTACTCTAGATACTCTTTAAGGGTTTGCAGTGGGCTATTACTCCCAGAAAGAAAGGGATTATTACTGCAAATCAACACGTCTGATGAGGAGAAAAGGACTCTGCAGACTGACATTGCTGTTTGTAGGAACAGAACTTTCAGAGTGCATAGAAATATGAGTATTTTTTCTGGTTCAAACTCTTGCTTGTCTGATAATCCATGTGATTTGTTATCAGCATTCACAACAAAGTTTTCATCCTAATACAATGCAAATTGACATTTTTTGGGGTCTCACCTATCAGAAAAACATATTAGCATAAAGTGCTATTAAGTTCAATCTTCTAAAGTCAGAGGTTTATTTTTTTTCATTAAGGAAAGGAGATCAGGAAAACTCTGCTTACATAATAGCATAAGTTTTTCTGCTTCTACGCTTAGTGACATTTTAAGACATGCAAGCCCTATTTTATTCACAAACAGTAATACTTCCTTGGCAATGACAGGAAATAAAGCAATTAGATAAATCATTTTTTAAGTCAACACTGGTGTCTTAGCGTAACTGAAGTTTGGCTCACTAATATACACAATTCTAAGGCATTTGGAAATCTACAGTCCCATGTGAAAATATTAATTTATATTTAAATTGTTAACGGCTTACCCATCCTAACAATATTAATATTAACAGTGTGACATTAACTCTCTGCTGAATTGGAGATGTAGGTCAGTTTTACAGAGAGTTGCCAAACTATAGTTGGAAAATATTACTTCATCAAAGAATTAGCCTTGGTACAACAGTGAACAGCAGAGCCACATGTCCTAATATATGTCAGCCTGGCGCCTCTATTGTATGCGGAACTATTTGCATATATATATATATATTTCTGTCACTACTCTGGTTCAGTATCAACACCCTTTCTGATATGCACGCCCCCCACAACACGAATGCGAACAACACACTGACATCTCTGAAGTCTCTCTTTGCACTCAGTTGCAATGTTCATTGTCATCAGCACTTTCATATATCATCTTCAACAAGGCACAAAAGGCTGACTTGATCTTATTAAATATTTGACAGAATATTGCTGCTGTGAGCTAAATCGTACAATTCAAACTTAACAGAATGTAATGATGAGACTAAAAAAATCTACCTTTCCAACAAAGGACTAGAAAATAAAATGAAGCAGTGAACTGCTTAATGGATGTAGCTTCCGATTAACATTAATGCTGCTCCACAGATGTTGAGCTAGAAAATATCTGTGTGCTCTCATGGCTTGGTACTTTTCTTTGTTTCCTTACTGCAGCTGCAGACTGATGGCTCTAAAAGGTAAGTTTACTTCATTGTCAGGTTTAAAGTTCTATTAAGCTATAGCTGGAGATTTCATTTTCAGTTTTAACAACAGTCTAGACATGTGCATCTCAGATTGGGATAAGGAAAGTTCTCTGATGAGCAAGTCAGCTGGTCACGCTGCTGTTGCAGCAAGATAGTCATTCACTCTGGTGGGCTTTAAGTTCTGTAGTGAAGCCTCAGATCACTTCATGGAAAGAAAAGTACTTTTAAAGGAAAGTCTGTCTGAACATACACATGTGTGTTTAAATTAAAGTGACAGACAGAAAAGAAATAGGACTTCCTAATAAAAAAAATGACTAGTGATCAATGATTTTCCACCTCACTGGTAATATCTTTCAAGACGTAAGGTAAACTTCTGATTTCAATATTGCAGGGAACTTCGGTGAAATTCTTGCTTACCTTTCACTGGACATTCAATCATAATATTTGCTCCAATTCTTGCCACAATTGTACCTCCAACAACTGCCAAGAGATTGCTGGCCTCCAGATTTGTGACATTTAACACCGAGGACAAGATGAGAGGAACCTCTTTGAAATTAAAGAACAATCAGTTTTAAAAGCTTTATTTGACTTTTAAATATAGATATAGTATTTAAAGTCATCATATTTGGAACAGAATTCAGTCTGCAAATAAGCAGTTGGAAAATACAGATGTGATAGGTACAAGCAGACTCAGTTCACACCTGCTGTACTTTTAGAGCAATGAGACCCTCATTGCTACCTGCTAAATCAGGCATAATTTCATGGACTGCCAGCAAAAGAAACTATTTCACATTGGAGTGGAGATGGGTGTTTAAATTAAAACAACAACAACAACAAAAACCCACAAAAACAAAAAACCAAACCCGAGTCTTTGGGTGCTACGGTCTTACCTGCACGCAATAGCAAAGATGTTTCCATATCAAAACCGAAGTCATTAACAACCAGGCATCTATATGTACCAAGTTCCTTTTGAGTAGGATTCTGAATTTGCACTTTTCCAATGGTGTCCAGGATCACCCTGCAGAATATTCAAGGAGAGACAAGGGTTACTACCCTGGGACAAACCTAGCTGAATGTTCTTGCAAGAGTTACAAATACAGCAGCAAAACTCCTTTTTAGGAGTTTTCCATTCCAGACCAGTGCATGCAGTAACAGTTCTGCCTCCTCTTGGGTGACAAGAGGGGAGCACTAAGCGATACATACATGGAAGATCCTTCAGCTCTTTGCAGGACAGTGAGTTTGCTACTACAAACCAGAATCCCTTGGGAACAACGGCATGAATAAATCAGACTACCACAAGTAAAAGTATTAGGCTTGGCAAGAAGTCCATCTCCAAGCGAGCTTGGTTTTCAGCGGGATTGGGGAATTTGCAAATGTATGGTCTGATCTGACTTCCAAATTATTCAAGTAGGTTTTGGCTTTTGTATGTTTGTTTCCTTGGTTTGTTTTTTTTTTCCTTTTTTTTTAAATGTTATCATCATTAAAGCTGAAGTCTTCCACCAAAACCCCACAGGTGTCTTCAATACCTTGCCTGCCATCTGAGGGGCAAGATATGAGAGAGACCATCATAGGCTGGGAAAGAGGCTGAAAACAGCAGCCTGGACTTTTTGCCCTTGTTACCTTTCTCAGCAGTAAGTTACACGACTTATGCCATAGACTCGAGTCCAAAAAAAACGTAGCTCTGGCATTCTCCCACACTGAGTACACTTACAAAAGTAAGAGGATATACAAAAACATTAAAAATACTTGTTTCTCAACAAGCCCTCTCATGCATGGCTCAAGTATGGCCTTCTTTTACAAACCCAACAGAAAACCAGCCCATTTACCTTCTCATATTCTTTTTCAGATGTAATACTTTTGTCACTGGCTTTTGAGTAGACACACATATATATATGGATTTGCGTGTAAGAAACCTTACTGTGAAATAAACAGGAAGGAAACCTACTTTTGCCAGAGTATCCCTTAAATTCAAGAGTATCAGTCTAGGCTAAAATGAAGGCAATTTATGAAAGCAGGCATTAGGAATCAAACAGATACTTGTGAATAAACGAAATACCATCATGTCCACAAAACGAAAGTATCACTTGCAACAAATTAATGGGAAATTATGCTTATTTCACAAAATAAACATGACTGGTGGGAGCTACACGGTTCCAAAAACATTTGCACTTTAAAAAATGGCTTCGTTTTGGTGTCTTTGCTTTAATTGATAGCCCTGCAGAAGTATATTTTTCTTGGCAGTGCGGTTAATCAGTTAAGTATGTTGAGAAATATCCAAGAGTGGCTTTATCATTTCAGAATCTTTTTTTTTTGTTACTCAAGAGCTAGCTATAATTCCAAGAGGCTCACACATGAAGTTAATGTTAATATTATCAGGTGAGCTTCTAATTTATCAGCAATGAAGCAAAAGTATTTGCCCAGTCTTGAGCAAATATCTGAATATAACACACACTTGCTGTACTTGTTCTTCAGGAATAGTTATCAAATGTGATATTAATACAGGCGTTATTATTTTGTATTCCACTATCCTCAACAGAAATATTTGTAAATTCTAAAGTATTGAAAAAAAAAATCCATAAAAGTTTATTCTTTCTTTTTAAATCGAAGTTATGCAGCTACAGTTATACCTAAAGATTTACTGTTTTGAATTTGTTTTGAAGATTTACTGATGGTGAGAGTAGTCGTGACATTTTCTCTCCTTAAAATGAGGGAGAACCGATATTTCTTTTCACCTGTACCATGGTAGAAGTTTTTTATGTATTCCCATTGTATTTGGTATATCAATGAATCCAATAGGCTTTTTAATTTGAGCATAAATCTGATCATTTTCTGATGCAGCTGCAATGATTAAGTCTGATCACAAAATACACAGGACATGCAAAACGCTTCACCTAGTAAAAAAAGTCAATCCTTCCACACGATAGTGTGGAAACGGACATATGTTTGGATGTCAGTAAAGGCAAACAATGTGATAGATGCTTGAAAGAGAAAAAAATAAATTACTTAAATAAAATAGATGGAAGGCATGGTGTTCATGCTTATCTCATTTTTACAACAGTATGTTTTAATATTGCACAGCAGGGTGGATTTTAACAGTTGATAGCAACATAATAGGTCATTCAAAAATAAAACAGAAGATATTTACTTACTTCTCAGAGGCTTTTAATGTCTCGCCATCTTTTGTCCAAGTATATTTCACTTCACTAATACCAGCTGTTTCACACAGTAGATTGACAACATGAGTATTCTTGGTCAGAAAAACCATATTTCCCATTCGTACAGTTACCGTTTTGTTAAAGGAAACTCGAATTTCCTTTTGCCTCATAATAACTGGAACCTTCTGGTCAAACATTAACTTATCAACAGGTTTTGTGCTGAAACGTTCAGATTCATTTGGTGATTTGCCTGCGAGTTTTGAAGGTAGTTTCTCATCCTGGGTCCCTTTCCATTTTTCAGTAGTTGGTTGCGGAGTCCTAGATAATTCAGCAACTAACTGGTAAATTACTTGGGATGCCAAGTCATCATTGACTTCTCCAGTTTCGATGAGCTGACTCATGTTCCTTATCAGTTCTTCAAACTGTGCAGTGTCCATGCTGTAGGCGCCTTGGAGAACTGCTGCCTCCAGTCGTTTATTCTTGAATTCACGAGAGCTGAAATCTTCTGCTGAGTTACTCCCAAAGGTTTCGAGATTTCGCAGAAATGGCTGATCGTTTATTTGCCTGTCACCCAGATAGAGCTCATTCTTCTTACTCCACATCTGCCACATTTTGCTCATTTTATGCCATTTAGCCCCCAAGCTGTTGGCCTCATTGTGATCTGCATTACTGGTCTCACTGGTATGTTTTCTAAGATTTGGTGGTTCTATCAATCTGTTGTCAGTACCAATGAGTTTGAGTACAAACGTTTCGTGCACGGAGCCCGCAATACACCGGTACACACCAATATCAGTAGCTTCAAGACTATGTATTTTCAGTGAGCCTGACTTAGTGATGCCAAGTCTTTTAGAGTTTTGTAACTGTTGTCCATCTTTCTCCCACCGGATAAGTGATTTCTGGAATCTTCGTACAGGGCACTTAATTACAACAGATGTTTTTGGAAGTAAGTAGGCTCGGCTTCCTATGGTAAAATTAATGCGCTTCTCTTGTCTTGTTTGAATATAGACTCGGTGAACGCTGACGATCTGAGGTCCATGAGCAGAATACTTTTCTGGAAGCTTTGGTTTAATCTCTGAAAGAAAACAAAGTGTTGAAAAGTATCTAATCATTGGCACTCGTGCTTACAAAATCTGCTTTTCACAGAATGTTTGACAGAGCTTTTCCTGACTTTGTTCAAGTCAGATTGCAACATGCTGAGCTTTTATCTGAGTCACAAAAATGCAAAAAATATGAACAACATGAAACCATAACATTCCCCTGCTCCAGCCAAGAATTCTATTGCTTCTTCCCAAGCTTCCTAACAATAAAAAGATACAGGCAACACATACCTATACAAAGGACATAGATGGTGCACACATACATAAATGTATATATAGATGTATTATGTAATATATTACTTTATATATAATCCTATTATGGTTATATTTCCTATATATTTCCTATTCCTGCCTCAGAAAGGGTAGGCATGACAAGAATGAAAAAAATGAATAAAAAAATTTGAATACATTCTACCTTTCCCCACATTTGAGCATTGTTGAATGCAGAATGACCTAAATAAAACAAAACCTATCCAAAAAATAAGGCTCTCCATGACTGTTATTTAACCTGTTGGCTGGCAATGCTGGTTGTCTGATTAGGTCAAGCCAAATTGATAGCAACGTAGGAGGTGAAAGAAACAGTCAATGAAGACACAGTACATGCAAGAAACAAAGCCACCCTGGAAATCATTGGCTGAGGGTAATTTCTTTGGATTGAAAGATGAGTTGCTCACAGTGTTGTGCCAAGAAAGTAGGGACAGAAGGGAGGAAAGAGAGAAATAAGTCAAAATTTTGAGAGGTTGAATGTAGTAATCAGATGAATTGACAAAAGCAGACAATAACTGCATAAAGCTTCATGCAGACTGGATACGGAGACACTGGGTATTACAAAGCTCCTCCTGCATTGTACTGCAGGCACTTGGATGCTGAAAAGTTTCTAGGGAGCCGCCTGAATAAATACCACCCCAGGCAGGCTTTCCCAGCAGCGGCTGGATAGGCACGCTGAAGACACCACTGGACTGACTGAAACGTTTCAGATACCACTGCGTTGACTCACTGCTGGCAACTGCTGTGCCCCACTTTGATCAGTAGAACTAATCTGACTAAGAAAACACCAGGTAGGTGAGAAACAAAGTGCTGTGGGAGATGTGGAGCAAGGGCATGCACCCCCTGAGTTCATTCCATGCGCGATGAAATTGGCCAGCTGCGGAGAGTCGGGAAACACTCTGCGTTGGTGCTAGAAAGCAATCCAATTGTGTTCAGTGACCCGGCCTGTTGGTATGTGACAGAGAAAAATCTCAGAGCCTGCAGAATGGGTTGATGAGCCAGGAAACAGACACACAAATCAAAATGCTTCTCAACGTGTCTGAATCTGAAATCATTATTACCAGTCCACTTGGTAGGTACGTAAATAAAATGACAACTACACTGATGGCACACAAATGATATCTGAAAAACTGCATGCTTCATATACACATATGCTTCAAATATTCTGTGAAGAAATAGGTGAAAAGCTAAATGCTTCAAGCATTCAATAAGTGTGTACACTATATGAACTACACCCTAGAGTGCATTCTTATGCTTATAAAACAAAATGGTTATTTTCAATGTTTTGGGTAACGAGTTCAGACCTGTGGGGATATCACTGTTTCATAATTACACAGCTTTTAAATCGGTATTCGTTATCCAGATACATGGTTCCCTCAACCATTTCACGTGGTACAATAAATAAATTGCTTTAGGCACTCAGTTTACTAAAATTATTAAAGTAGCGTCCTGTTTTTAATAAGTTACTGGGCCCCAAATATTTATTTTTAGGGAAGTGTTCCAGTATTAAATCTTCCATTTCCAAAATCCAACTTATAGACACAGTAAGTGTAACTTTAAACACACAAATTAAAATACTTCAGGCTGCGCTCTGTTTACACTAGTTATTCCAACATGGAATTAAACCCAGTGCATACTTATAAATATGTTAACAAGTCTCATCCATTTCATTTTTTAAAAACAGAAAGACCACTAACTCTCATTAGCAGTTCAACACTAAAGGGTGTGTGTATTTTTACTGGTGACTGGTGAGCAAGGCAAGGGGTGAAACAAAGTTCAGAGTTGTGGATGGCAGGCCATATAAATATATAAGGTCATATAAATACATGAGGCCACATAAGTATGTATTTTCTAGATCCTTAGTATCATCCAATCTTGCAGCTGCTGAGGTAACAGACTGGGAAAGGTTTTTTTTCTGCAAGGTAAATCTTGCTTAAGGATTAGATCTTAGTGGAGCCAGTGGACATTATTGCCTGGTACAAACCCATTTGCATCTGTGTCCTCTAATGGTCTTCTACAGCTTTAGCTGGGCGTCAGGTCCTGGTGACCTTAGGGCTAGATTGGTGTTATTTCCTATTTCTCAGAGCCCACAGTCAGGAATGTTTCTGACTTAATAGAGCTTATTAAGTAAAAAAACAGCTATGATTACTAGTCCCAGGGTAAAAGATTAAGTCTAAAAAGCCTCAGCAGTGTCATGAGACAGTAAAAAAGAAGGAGCTCCTCTGAGTCACAGAAGCATAATCCTGAGGAGGCACATTCAGAAACACTGCTCCCAAAGGCACGAATCCCTAACAGCACGCGTGCCGTGTGCCACGCTGCTCTCCGCTGAGTCTGCCTCGCTTTGTAGCCAGCTGTCTGTCTGTCTTAGGGCCACGCTACGTTCCTGCCACCTTTTCACTCCCCCTTCAAGGCAGCCTGAACCCAGTGCTGCAGAAGGAGGAGAAGCTTCCTGCATGTTCCTGTGAATCCAAAGCCTGCTGCTGCCGCTGCCCTGGATCTTTCTGCCAAACCCAAACTGGAACGATAGGTACAGACAGGTCTCGGACCTTCTCCTGCCCTCCTGCTGCACAGTGAGGAGCTGCCAGGCAGGTCTGAGCTGCAAGGCCTCCCTTGTTCCAAACAGTTGTGAAGATGAAGGTAGAGGACAATGATTCTCTTCCATGACTTTGGTCTGCACACCCATTCAGTGCAATCGCGTTCCCTCTGCAGTCCCCCGTCCTTTTTCTTGGTACTGTGGTGGGAGCTGACAATGTAACTTCAATACCACTCTGTGCTAAGCAATTTGCAAACCAGCTACACTGCCATTCAACTATCCACAATTAATTAAATTCAGATAGATATGCAGCTCAAAATATTTTATTAAACCTTATGCCAAGGACATTCTTGAAAGTCCACAGGGCTTTATTTAAGTGGAGTTTTGAACCTCAGGATTTTGGCATGTTAATCTGAAACACAGGCCAGGAAAAGAAGTTTCATATTATGTATGAATCAGTAATTATTCTATTTCTTATTTCGTTTTGTGAATAATTTTTAAAGAAAAGCTTCAAAATTTATAAAGTAGCTATTTCTCCACAGCACTATGAATTGGGTCAAAACATGTCTATCTCTGTGATCGGTGATCCAAACCAGGCCGTTCATGAAGGATTTTGGTTTTCCCCACCTCAAAACTAATAACTTTATTTTTTTCCTTTCTTTTCAGCACCCTGCTCCCCAAACCTACAGACTAATACTCTCCTTTATAAAGGAAGGAGAGCAGAAGTTCAGACATAAGGAACCTGTACTTAGAACTGCCTGTTCTAAATTACTGTATGTAACTGAACATACTCTGTATCAGCAAGGTATTTCCATCGGTGTTACACGTATGCAGTGAGTACAACTACAATCAGTATTACAACCCAACTCTGCCCAAATTGTACAATTCCTATAGACAATATTTTTGAAAATATTTTTATATAGATAGTAATAAAACACTGGAGTTTTTGAAGAGTGTCTGTGCTGTCACCACTTCCTGCAAAGCTCATGAGACTGGGATTCTCATTTTTACAAGGAAAGATAAAAATTATACCTAAAGTTATCACTGGCACAGAGTTTCAGGTTTTGAATTCCACCATACTAAGTGAAATGTCCAGTGTAATTCAAATGTACAGCAAAAAGACAAGCCAGAACTGGATTCTTATCTTTTCTAACATCCTTTGTAATTTATACTCAATTTATAGATTTTTTTTTTTCAGTTGGGATAGCATAAGGTATAAAGGAAAAATCAGATCAAATGTAAATCAGTACAAGGGTAAGCAGTATATATCATTAAAGTATATTCAAAACCAACTTTGTTAGATATAACCTTTATTTCTGACCAGCAGAGAAAAAGTAATAAAGTAAAACCAGTCCTGTTATTACTGGCCTACTAATTATGACATTCAGTTTATGCTAGATTAGTAATGTTGTGAAAGTAAAGGGAGATGAGTGAATTAACCTGCACACAGATTTTTCTTTATAAATAGATCATCCCAAATCAGCAAGAAACTACATAAAGTAACATACTTACTGTTGCAGGCGTTCTTCTGACAAGACCTTACAAGCAGTGAAGGAGACAGACCACTACACATTGATCCATTTAATGTGACATATTGGCCCTTTGCTGTTAGGTTTTGGCAGGCAAGTTTCCTTCTCTGGATTCCAACACCACAGCTTACTGAGCACTGGGAAAGGAACGATGCAGTCAAACTAAACTTGGTGTCCCGCACCACACATGCTAATTTTAAAGTTTTGGTTGGTTTTGGTTTTCTTTTTTTTTTTCCTTCTGAGTGAGAGTGCACATGCTCTAGTAGTTCATATGAATATGTGTTATCCAGACATTAAACTCTGTGCTTTTCCAGGCAATAAGAATATAAGATAGATAATTTGTTCCAGCAAACAACTTAGGAATGATTAAAATTACAGTATTTCTTTATGTCCAGCCACAGGCAGAACAGAACAATGAGATCTTGTATCTACAAGAAACAATTCAGCATGTTCCAAAGAGTTTGTGTCAAGTCTCTCAACCCTTTCTCCTAGTTTGTATTGCATGAACCTTTAATTGTAGCTTCTAAATTCACTTCTATAAACCTTTTCTGATCAGCAAGTGGTAGCAAGCTTGCATTAAATGGAAAAGAAGGAGGACGTATTCCAGAATAATGCAAGATTTGCTTTTTGGAAGTCGTGGTATGAAATAATTGAGAGCTAAACATGTCTGGTAGAGTGCATGCAATGCATTACAGCCTGACCTTCAACAACTGAAACACGCCTCAGGAATGGGGATGTGATCAGTCTGGTTGTAGGCAGGAATGCACAGCAACTGTATGCACAGTTTAGTCTGGTAAATGCCTTGAGAAATCTTCAGCTACCCTGTGAATTTATTGTTCCAAACATCTTATTCACCCAAGCAGAAATCTTTAGAGCTCATGTTGCAACTGAAGGTTTTGGTTCAACCCTTACTGGGGCTACTCACCTTGGACCATTCTCCTACGACTAGCTGAGGAGGACAATCAACTTTTGCACATGGTTTACTAGTTGGCAATTTAGGTGCCTGGCAGACATCATCAGAGTGTTTCAGGAAACTTCCATCTGTCAACAGCTGCTTACAGTACACTTTGCGTGTCTGAAGCCCTCCTCCACAAGTACGTGAACACTAAGAAGAAGAGAACATAGCATGGACATCTGTGCTCACCCATCACACTTATTTTACACAAACACTGTAAGCTTCCCCCCCACTTCCCCAATTATACTCTCTTGAAAAATGACATCTACTTTTAACTAAAAAGCAAGCACCATGTAGAAAATTATTCTGTTAAAACATTCAGCTAACATATTAGAGATGATGAAAACCTAACTACTAAATTAAAAAATCACACCACCTAAATGCAACTAAGTAGTAGAAATCTTAAAGAAAAACGTGCATCTTACACATAGATCCACCTATGTCTCACATCAGTTAATATACCTGGTGTGAGTTTAGACAACTTTGTCCTTGAGACAAAAAAAAAAAGAAGCAATGTCTCCAAAAGCAGGTTACTGCTTTTGCAGAGAATAGAAAAAAAGGTGATGTCTGGAGTAACTGGTATCCAGCTCTGAAATTTTAAAAAAGACTTTCCACCTCATCCTGTGACTACCCGTTGGCATAGCAGTCAAAAGTATTATTTTTGACCTTGGATTAGTTTGTTCTAATGAAATCAGTTGAAACATTTACACACCAAAGTTTAGGAGCTACGTTCCATATTATCCCAGTTAAAGAATTTCAAGTACCTAGCCAGAACCTCAATTCAACTATTTCTGTAACCCAGTCAGTCATACCTGTTGCCACTCCTCGACATGCCAAACAGGGGGACAATCAATCTGGTTACAAGCTTGTAAAGAATGAGGCTTTTTATCTTTGCAGTCTTCAGCAGCAACAGTAGATCCTCCCGGCTGCTGGCAGTAGACATCTCTTGTCTGTATCCCAACCCCACACGTCGCTGAGCAGCGTCTCCAGGTGCCACTTTGCCACCTGTTCCAACAGCACAGCCAAAAGCCCACATTTTAGCAACTCACTTCGGATCGGGGAAGGATCAGTCATACCCAAACAGACCCTAGCAGCAAGTAGCCGAAGGCATAGTTATCAGTACATGGCTAAAGCATCCCTTTGGTCTGGCTGTAGTGCAAAACTATAAACTAGATTTATAGACTTACAGGTAACAAGGAAACACAGAAGTGATTAACAATAAAGTGATAACATTCAACTTCAGCATTTACTTTCAGAAGGTTCCTCATAAAATAACAGCCTCTTGGCAACCTGCTGACATTTACATTTATAAATGTAAATATGTAAATAGACCTTTCTTACATTTACAAAACTTCCTTTAAATGTGTATATTTAACATCCTGTTCCTGTTAACATCTTCCCTACATTTTGGAAGAGGAGGTTTCTGCAAACACATAGAAACAACATGCAAAGGATCAGAGATGTCAGAGATGAAACTGAGCAAATAAGGCAGCACATGTCAAAATTTCACATATGGGCCTTCCAAGTGACCAAATTAGCTATGTTTTCTTGGATTTGGTCTGTGTTTATTCTTTTCCCAGGACCTCCTAATAAACATAAGAAGCCATAAGAAATACACGTGGCCAGTAAAGAAGCGTGAAATTAAAATAACTTTAAATGATAATTTCTTTTTTTTTTATTAATAAAGATAGAAAGTAAATATTCTCTGTTTTGTGGATTATTTTTTTTTTTGTGAAATTTCCTTAAAATGTTTCTTGTACTACTAAAAGAGTTAAGGCTGTTTTTCCAACTCTGGCAACTATCTACACAGAAGACATTTATTTCAGAAAATGGTCTCTATTTTATTGGTGAGGTGTGAAGAGTGGAAAAGGAGTGAACAAGACCAAAAAAATAAAACAACTCAACCCCAAAACCTTGTTAAAGACAGAAGCAGTGAAATTTCAACCCAAAGCAAGACCACAGTCCTGCAATCTGAAGCCTTTCTGAGAATGCCAATGTTTATTTAAGTCATATTAACCGTTTCTTTGCCACGACATTTCATTGTTATGGTGTACCTCGGAGGGCAAATCTTCGTATTGCAAGTACGAGTCATTGGTGGTGGTCTCTTGGAATTGTCACACAGGGTTTCATTGACAGCTTGTTTTGTCTCCACATGCAGACACATTGCAATGGCTTCTTGTGTTCCTGAATTAAAAAGGAAGACACTCATGAAACACTGAAGATGGAAGAGATTTCTGTAAGGCCTACTCTTGAATAACATTCAGTAAAAAAGCTGCAAACACTGAATTAGATAGGCTTAAAAGTGACATCTAAAGTCAAAAGGAACACAGAGATAGTTTACATATTTAATGCTCAAAAGATAATTGTGAATTATACCTAGCTCTTCAGTGATATTTAAAAGGCTTGATTTGACATTCTACCTCTCTGAAACCAACAGAAAATAGGCTTCTCTGTCTGTCCACCATCAGACGCTACACCGTCTGGTTCTGTAATGGTCCCAAGCCAACTACTGGCTTCATTGCCAAAATCAGGGTAGAAGTAATTCTTTCTTTAGGTCATTAAATCAAGGCAAATGAGATCTGCAAGAAACTTAATTAAACATGCAGAAAAACTGCAAAACTCTAGTCAGGAAAATGGCTGACTAAACATAGAACCTTTCTTATAGGGGCTAAGATGTGCAATAGTTTTGCTGAAGGCAGCAAATCCAACCCTGCCTAGAGTTTTCCTCACTCGTGACCATTCTTGGCACCTTCTGATCTGCAGTTCTTGCTACCTGGATCTTATTACTGAAGCACGAAAGATTACTAATACTCAAATTTCTATGAGTCAAAATGAAATGTAATTTGAGTTTGCTTTAGAACAAGTCAGCTTAGCAAAGACACATCTTGTGAACTATTTTTATTTCAAACCTATGTAATTATCAAATTTTATGTATCGTATTTTTTAGTACGAAAGCCTTGTTCAATTTCAAAGTTCGCTCATGTGCATGAAAGACAAGATGGTTTGTGATGTGCTTGGGGGATGCTGCATGTGAAGGAATGCTAACGGTCTTAATTCTGTAGAAAAAAAAAAGCACTGAAATCCTAAAATACCTATTTTGTTGCTTCCAAGTAAAAATGGCTTTTGAAGAGTCACACTTTAAAGAATTTGAATCCATTTCCTTCTTATCTTTCACTTATCTCCAGTGATTTTGTAAGGATATGAACTTGCTTTCAGAAGCAGGTTACTTTTCTTTTCTTACAACCAACTTCTAAGGTTTCAAAGGGAGTTGTGTTTTTAACCAGAAACCTTCACTAACAACTTCATGGCATAACCTCTGACATCGCTTCAAAACATCACCACTGTTGTTACACAAAGGCTACTACAACTATCCCTGCTTCTGTGTCAGATGTGCATAATGTCCATGCCAACGGTCCATATTTCTCTTTTACACCACATTTGTGAGCACTGTCTTTCTTTTCATAAACCAAAGCCATTCCTTCCATCTATAAACAATTCTGATGTAGTCCAGCATATTAGCACATCCAGGCCACAATCCCTCTTTGCAACACTTGAACCAAACCAACTATTTCATACATTTCATCAGGAGTAGATCAGCAGTGATTTTCATAATAATGTAGATTCCAATTTCTTTCAGGCTCTCTGGTACACCTCTAGATCCCCTCTGGGACTCGTTTTCAGTTCAGTAAAACCTTGTTATATAAATGTTTTGACTACATCTACAAAGTGATGAATTTTTATAGAACAGAAGACCTGACCTTTAATATGATTGACAACCTATTCAGTTCTCTTATATCAAAGTATTGATAATTACATTAACACAGAACACACACATTGAGTAAAATGTGTTTTACCAGCAGGGCTGAGAAGAAATCTTTAACAGTAAATACCACTATTATAATGTAGACATTAAAATGCCTTGAAAAAAAAAGACAAATCAGTAAATAAACGTGGTTTCTAGAACTCTACTATTTTATTCCAGACTGGCAAACAAAGGAATCTAAGGTTTTTTGTCCAATTGATCCACGCGTGTGTGTTTAACAGAAGCCGCTTCCCGGTTCCCTTATGTAGGAAATGCACATCTGACTGCCTACAGTAGAGAAATAAAGATTTATAAATTGCGTTCTGGCAGAAACAGAATGACGTTACCAGACAATGAAACACATATCAAGCATCTGTATAACCTATTTTAGGTCAAAATCTACCCTGTGCTACCAGTCTTTGTCTTTCGCTGACCTCCGTGTGCTCCTGTGGGAAAGCCACACTCAGAGGTGATGCTGCTCTGGAACAAGTTGCTATCAGTAATATCTTCTCAATATCTCACACAAAAGTGAGGAATGAAATGAGATGCCTTTCAGACCATCTATGTCGGCAGTAATCCCATGGGAACTTTTTATCTTGGTGTTATAAAAACTAAATTGGCCAGCCAGATGAACAAAAGGCATGTCATACTATGTGACAGTTTTTGACTGCAACTTGCCACCTGGAGTTCATTAAACCACTTCTGCCTTGCAGCATGACCTACCTCGCTTTAATTGTGTTACCAGAAGAAAATGCCGATATGCGGTGTATCTTTCATTTCACTTGACTACAGGGCACAAACCGCAGTAGTGATTCCTCCCCACAGAGGCCTTATTGAAAGAAAAATGGCACCCTGTTTTCATATCGTAAGTACAAAACAGATATTAAAGAGCTGTTAAAAACATATCATGTACCCCCTTCCTGTTCCTTGGTTCTCAGTTCAAGGATTCTATTCAATAAATAACGACGCTTGATTGATGCAACATTTGCTTGAACTTAACTGTCAGAATGTCTTGACAATTAATCAGATTTTTGACCTGAAACTATAATTTTACATTACTTGGGAACTTCAATCACTGATAAATTTCTTATTCCGTTTCAATTGGAAAATGGAAAAATCTGTTATTCAAACAAGCAAAGTTTTATACGTATGACTTTCTTGGCTTATAATATAAACATAGTAGATAATTTAACTAAAACATTATGTATGCAGCAGGGAGCATTAAGTATTTTTACAGTAATCTGATGCACTATTGTAGTAATTATCCTACTATTCAGTGAAATAGAATATTTTCTATTTTAACCCAGCATTCAAACCACATACATTCACGTTCTTTTACAAGCTTTTCTGTGCAGAGAAATACAGAGTACATGAAGCTGTGTTAAAAGATCAGAATGCTTGAAAAAAGCCCAGACTTTTTGTTTCTGCCTTTTTAGAGTACAAAGTAAATGGGAGTGGAAAGTTGCTCTGCAAATGGTAAAAGGGTGGATCTATTCTCTATACCAGGAAGAGGAAGGACAGCAATTAATTTTGATCAGATACTCTCAGTTTGGTGACTGCTTAAAAATATGTACTATCAGTTGAAAATAACTCAGAAGAAATGCCAAGTCATACTTATGCTTGAGCCTCTTTGTAAATCTATACAAACTGGCAATGTTGTTTATACCCCTTCTGTAAAAGAGTAAACAGTGTCTGCAGTTAATGAAACCAGCCATAGGAGTAACCAGTTATCAAATTGTCTACAACACTGTTGCAAATGCTCTCAACTTCATACGTGACTCTCAGAATGGTCATTGTTTCTCTTAAGAGCCCTTAAATTTGGCTAGAATCCTCTGATTTTCTAAGAATCTCAGGTTTCTTATAAACAAAATAGTAAACTTTTATCCATTCTGGTCCAGAGAAAAGCCTGAAAACAACTTGACTGCACCCTAAAGCTTCAAAAGCCACAGACTATAGAAGAAACAACAGGGAGTGCATATGTATCTATTAATCTATTGTTTATTCTCATTATTTTTAAGCTAATGTAAATTTGAGGGGCCTGAACCGTAATTGTTGAAGCATATGGAATATAAAAAATAATAGTTACACTGAAATATCAAAATCTGCCCCTTGCAATTAAAGGCATTTTTAAACAGGAACCCTGAAAAAGTTTAGTTATTTTTTTAAATGGAAAACATCCCTTTAAAGTATTGTAGTTTAATGATTGACAGCCCTAAAAAAATACTACAGATTACAAGAAAAACATTTCTTCTCCTCAGGCATACTCTTTGTTCTGATAACAACTATTACTTCTTGCTGACAATCTTATGAAAATTATACTTATGTTGAGGGTTCTCACATCAGAGCCAAAGTTCTTCAGATTAAAAAAAAAAACAACACAAAACACCATTCTGGGAAAATGAGGGCAAATCCTGAGATCTCCAAGCACACAGTTGGCTTATTTTAATTTTGGGATTTCTTCAGTCGCTGAAGACAAAATAAATCTTTAGCTTTCAGGATGGTTACAGAGTTTCCTATAGATGTTAAAGGTGACATCTGCCTCAGTTAGCCTGGACAACTTTCATTTTTACTCACGGAAAGATTGATAAAAGCAGTATTAATTATGCTAACAGGCATAAGAATGCAGCAGTCATCAAAAGCAGTCAGTTTTATGGCACCCGATATGCTGCATGACAAGCCACACAGATTTGGTGCAAAAAGCACACAAAATAATCACAGACTTGTGTTACTAATGCTCTAGAACCTGCTGAATATGATGAACTGGAAAGCAAAGATGATGATTGATAATGCCTTGCAGATCACGCTATCTCTGTAATTCTAATACCTCAAAAACAACATTTCCATTTATATTTTTACACCTGCTTTGGAGAGGAACCAGGGGACAATTTGAATTAAAAGTTTAGTCTGTAGGAGGATTTAAAAAAAAGGTGCAAGCAATAAGCACTGAAACAGAGATTCAGTCCTTGCTCAAACAGTGGCTATAAAGCTTCCAGCCTGCTCAGACGCTGCAGACTTTTCCCTCATTCAGAGAGAGTCAAGCACTTAGAAACGGGGGAGGGAGTTCTGAGAACACAGAAATCCACAGGAATTTATTTTACTAGCCACTGCTAGATACATACATGCTAGAGAAAAAGTACTTAATATAATTTACGTTACACTGGGATATGCCAAACTCAGACAACATTTATTTCTTGTAATGAAAGAGTTCATCTAATTGAAATGGAGATTTGAACATAAAACTTAGCAGAAATGGATCAGCTCCTTTGAACTACACAATGGAAAAATAGTAGACAGTGAGATCATTAGTTAGTACATTGCAATAAGTTGGAAACAGGAGAGATGTCTGGTTCCCTTAAAACTATTTATCGGCAGGTAATTTTTGGTCTGTTTGAAAGCCTTTGCCAAGGCAGCAAGAAGACCAGAACTGATAGGAGGGAAAAATCACTGCTACCTAACTAGCATAACAGTACAGGGACTTCTGAAGCTGTGCATTGATAAAATATCCTGACAACTTCCCACATTTCCCAGGAGCATCACATAGGAAAAATGTCTAGACATAGTACCAGTGATACCACAGAAATCTCAAGAACACAACCAGATATTTTCTTTCAAACTTCTTTAAATGGATCATTTTTATTGCGTATCAAAGGAATGGTTAGATTACTGGGAATGCCTATTGGACAATTCTGCATCAAGCAACCTCACAAATTCATGAAAGGGACGGAAGTCAATAACAGAATTCACACTCAGCTCCCTTCGGAACAAAATTAAGCTGAACACAGGATTCTGTTCATGAGCCATTTTGAAGGTCCTTTGTACCAGCAAATGAAACTACTGTCTTCATTACAGGCTCCTTAAATTACCATCAGCTTGCATTCCAAGTGCAAGTTTTTACGCGAACCTTTTTGCGTGGACAAACTCACATCACATGTGAGGACGCAGGCAATGCAAACATGCACATGTGCAACAGCAGGCAAAGCCTAGAGATTACTTCAGCCTAGATATCTGCTGATGTCCTCAAAATTCAAAAACTTTGAAGTTTCAGAAGACCTCCAACAAAGATCCTGGCTCAAAAGCAATAGTAAATTGAGTTTAAAATCGCAATGGAATGATTGCACATTACAGGAGCCAGTTGAGATATGAAAAAGAGAACTACAAATTTAGTAGCAATGAAAGCCTTGTTTCTGCTTTAGACTACAATTTCCTTATGTCTAAAAACAATTCCCTCATTAAAATGAAGAAACAGAGACACTCAGTCACAGTAGCTGTCAGCACCGTGGCACTTGTATACGTATATTCTTGGACTGTACCCTCTTCTTGCCAGTCAAAATGCCCACTGAAGGTAGTGGAAGGAATGGAATGCATCAGCTTTTGTGATCACATGTGCTGCCATTCCTATGGATCAATCCCATCAGTAAACAGCAGTAGTAAACGATAAAGGAGGAACTTATCTGTCACTTACCATCCTGCTGGTAGCATTCTAGGGCATTCCTCCCAGCTTCTGTCCTCAAGGTTTGAACTGGTGAATAGTACAAAGGAGGCTGCTTTCTGTGAGCTCTAGACTGGCTCTCTGCTTCCAATTGTTTCTGTTCTCCCTTTTTCTACATTTTTTATTTCTTCTATGGGTACAACTCTCTTCACTTTCCACTGATGTCATCAGTCCTGTCATATATAGGTGTGTTTACAATTCCACTGCCTCCACTTAGCACTCCACAACTCACTTGTGTTCAGTCCCAAAGTACAGTATGTAGTAGCAACACCAGCAACCTTGTCTAGTAACATGTACTTAGGATGACAGGGAGATTCGATTACATCCAAAAAGGAATGTGCCTAACTACTTGCAGACAGATGTATGGCACAGAGTTCCTATAGAGTGATATACTGTACCAAGACCTAAACAAACTCCTGTTTGATCTCTGTGCTGGTCAGACTGAAAAGCAAGCCTCCCTGATTACAACTTTGTATCCCTACCGTATTGCAGAAAATGGCAGTGTTTTGGAAGATAAGGAATAATTAACATGGGAATTTTAACTCCGGAACTATAGTTTCAGTTCCTAGGAAAAGAAAGGTCATCTAAACATGCCCATCACTGATGCATTAAACATGCTGGTACCGCCAACTGCCTGGCAGCTGAGATTCCTGCAGCAACAAGACTAAAGCAAGTTGCTGTATCAACAACTTCCTGCACCTTACTTAACCAAAAATAGTCGGGGTTTGAACATAGGATATAAAAGAATCAAAGTAGTTTGAAATACTCTATGGATAACTTATTTCTAAGTTAGAACTTGAAGCTGCATGTTTTCCTACAGATCAGCATAGCTAACTAAGGGTTACACTAACAGAAAACAATGTCAAACAATGCCAAATTCTTACAACTCAGGAAAAATAAACAAAGGTACCTCCAAGACATGTGGCTGAACAAGGAGTAAAACCAATGTATTCCCAGTCATAAATCACACTGCCATCTTCAGCATGCGAAAATTCTGGTGTGTAGGGGACAGGATCACTGTCGCAGGACGCCAGGTGACAGACTCGTTCTGTTGGTGGCTTCACATCTTCACATTCCTCCTCGGGTAGTTCAACCTCAGTCTGAGTAAACGCCAGAAGAATTCGGCACTTCACATCTCGCACCTGTATGCCATTGCCACATGTGGCACTGCATGGAGACCAGGGTTCAGGTATAAACCTGCAATCAATCACAGTGCAGTCACTGTTATTTTACTCCATATAATTGTGTCTGTGTGCGCACAATTAAAACACAGCTAAAACACAGAAACGTATGTTTATACACAAAGCAGACAATACATAATAGTAGTTCATGCTTAAACAGAATGTATAATCAAGTGTCTTAAGTCTTTCACTTGCCTCCCATGCCAGACTATTTGTCAAAAGTCACAAAACAAAAGATGTACGAAAAGAAGAGAAAGGATCATGAGGAACAGGGAAAGCTGTATCCTTTTTCGGGAAAAAGAGCATCATCTAAATCTTCTCAGACTCCTTCAATGGGAAAAAAGGAGAAGACATATCCGTACAATATAAAATAGCTCCCAGATATGCAGACTTAGGCATGTGCCAAAAGTATATTTGCAGTCTGCTTAAATCTAAGAAAGGCCATCACCTTATACGATACTAATGATCGGCAACCAGACAGAAGGCAACCACTTTTCAAACCTAGCTATCTCCAATGCACACCACTGCAGGCTGCTGTTCAGATTTAATCTTGTAAGAAGCCTCTCATCTTCAATAAAGAGGTCTAACCAGCTCAGTCTATAATCCATCATTTTTATGAGAAAGTATTTATGTTCCTGATGAACTACAGTAAAATCTTATTTTACAGATCATGAATTTACTGAATAAAAGGAGGGTTTAGTCTATAATATTCTCTGACTTCGAGGGTCACATTAAAATCTGATAGAAATTTTCTAAATGGCCCTAGAGTCAAGGGGCTGAATTTCATTAATAAAGTCATTCTGAGTGGCTCTGGGGTACAATTTAAAAGAAATAAAATTCAGAGTTTCAAAAGACATTTTTTTCAAAAGGTTGCAGTTGCTCTTTCTTACATGTCCAAATACAACTGATGATCAAAACACAAATGGGAGATATAGGAAGATATACTTGACCAATGCTGAAAACGTATTTGGAAGGAAATATCCTAATTAGGATTCAGAGATTTTTCTCCTTATCTTTGAATAAGAATTATCTTTTCTTTACTGTAGGAAAGCTGCCTTACAAATATAAGAACAGTTGTGTAGGACAAAAAAATCAGTATTTACGCTCTGCATACACCGTAAGCATAGAAAAATGCCAACACAGTGTGGTTGATTCTGTGGACAGTTTACCATCTTTAGCCAATAACTTCTTGCCAGTATATACAGGGGAAGAATCAAATAGAAAAAAAGAGAACAGATGAATGGATAACCTGTAAGCCTACTCTAACTCAGTTCTTAGGGTAGTCATTCAAGCTGTGCTTGGGATAGATCCCAAGACAGACTGTCTCCTATGGAAAGGCTATTCCCATTTCCAATGAAGGTTACAAGGTAACCGGCTATTCTTTAAGGAAATGTTGATGAAATACCTTTACAACTCTACTATGAAGATAAATAAAGATGTCAAAGCCTGCCACTTCAAAATTTCCTTGAACAAAGCCTTGAAATTTTAGTTTGACCTTACTGGTCTTTGACAGACTTCAGTAAGTGGTGCAGTAACCCCAGCTTCTCCTGAAACCAAGGAAAACTGCAATTGTTCATCACTTCACAAGTCTGACCACCTTTGAAAAAGTTAACTAGATTGATTTTTACTGGAAGAGTATTATTAAAATGGTGGATGGTTGTGTCCTACAGTGATAAAATCTGAGTAAATGCCATACTGGTGTAACCCAACAGCCCATCAAGTCCAATGGCACAACTGGCAGAGGTTAATGTCCAGATGTTCTTGATAACAAATTCTAACTGAACATCTGTGTGAAATGCTGCAAAAGGAGGCTTGCTCTTACCCCAGCAGATAAAATGAGTTCAACCCTGAAACACCAGATCTCGCAACTTTTTCAAAGACAGCCATACAAACTACCTAGGGTAGCCATGGCAAAATCGCCCTCATCCAACAAAACGCTTAAGCATGTGCCTAACTTTAAGCATGTTAGCAGTCCTTTGAAGTTGATGGGACTATAATGTGCTCAGAGTTAAACTTGTGTTTAAGTGCTTTATTGGACCAAGGCCACTATGCATAAGGTTAACAAAATTATGACTTTCCTCTCCTTCTGTGTAAAAAAAAAAAAAGGTCCATCTGTAATCATGTAACTAATCAGAATAATAAAATTGACAGACATTTATAGTTGAAAAGAGTTGGTTGGTGTTCTGACCACACCTGACAGTTTACAGTCTGAAAGCAAATAACATTTTTTGGTAAAAGTATGACAGCAGCACACCAGAAATTAGTGTTAGTTTTGTATACTGTTAGTTGAGGCATTAAAACATTCCAAAAATAATGTATGGTGCATTCTTTCAAAATCCTGTATAAATGAAAGGAAATTTTGTACCACAGCAATTCTTTCATTCAACAACCAATTGATTTATAAAGAAACTCAGAAAATTTTAAGCATTTTTTCTTTGACTTACAGCAAGCCTATATTATAATTGAGGTTTTCCTGTTGAATATTAGCCTCTGGTATTTCTCACTGAAGTGCAAGATTAAAAAAAAAAAACAAACACGAAATTCTTTTTATTCTATCCTGGCATTTGTTAAAATCCTAAATTGTAGAACTTTTCAAAGGATGACCATGTTAAAGTCACACTTTGAGTACCTTCAACAGAAGCCAACAGACTGCTAATACAAAATTACAGCAAGGAACTGGCAGAGCTCCAGAGGTTGGCATTGTCTCTGAATTTTGAGTTCAGGCAGATGATTTTTTTTTTTTTATTTTTTAATGTATGCACAGCCAACGCCTGTGACAGATCATTAAGGCAAACTCCGTCAAACTCAGAAGGGATATATTTTTACTCAGTGACATTCACAGCACACGCTTGGCAATGCTTTGGAGACAATACTTCCCTGAACAAAATTCACTCTGCCTTTGATGGGCATACAGACTCATCTCAGGTCAGGATTAAGAAGCATCAAAGAATTTGTATTAAGATGCCTTGCAGATCATCAGGAATTTATAATGAAATGAATAGGATGGTGGCAAGTCTGAAAATTTTCTCAGATCTTTAACTAAGTTTGTAGATGAGATGCCTCTTCTGATTAAAAAAAAGGGGGACAATGGAAAAATGCAAATCCAAGCAGGCACAACTTTACACAATCAGCCTTTTTGCCCAGTTTTTCTTCCCAGTGCAATGCAGAAATCAAATGCCCCTTTAATCATCTGCACAGGTAAAAACGATGCTCCACAGATGCAGTGGAGACATCCATGCTGCAGTGTTACCAGTCCAACATTAATGGAAATGTGCATTCACCTGGCACACTCTGAAAAAGTCAGTGTAGGATGACCTGGAAAATGAAGCAGTGACCTAAACTACTGACGATAAAACTGAGACAGAACAGCCCAACCAACCAAATCAATCTGAACTAAAAACTTAACTCAGCAAAGCCTTCTGCAGCTTTCTAAAGACTTGGAAAACATAGTGTCTCTTAATATTATTATTTTTTTTTAATTTTCCTCATGCCTGCAGTTCTTGCTTTCAGTTAAGATAGGAAATGCCTAAATCTTGAAAAAAAAGGTTGCTTTTGTGATGTTTCCAGTCCAATCCTTCTGCTCCAAGGGGCCTGGATAAATCTGAAATGTTGGCTGCTTACTAGGGCAGAACTTCCACGATGCTGGCACCCTACCCCTCCCTGAAGCACCACCCTTCCCTGCTCAAAGCTGAGTTGTACTGCCAGGTTTTATCAACCTTGAGTGTGCTGTGTTGGACAAAATCAACAGCCCATTTCCAGAGAAGAAGCTGTCAAAAATGTGTAATTCTCTATCACCACAGGCACAATGGAGGCGTTTCTGTCAAAGTTACTCAAATGCAATGGGCAGCAACCTTTGAGAGACATGGCATTTCACATTCAGAGAGAGCAACTCCGCAAACCTAGTGATTCCTTTTTAGCTCTGGTTGCTGAAAAAATATGTCAGCTTTTGAAAGCATTTTAGTTTTGTCCTAAGCCATGACAGGGAAAGGCAGTTGAATCGTCTATTTCTTTAACTTACGATTAACAAAAAGGATGCAAAAACCTTTCTGGAGCTTCTCTGCGAATCCCACTGTAACTAAGAAGGCTCAAGGGAAGAACGTTTAAAATAATGATTGGTATCAACTGTCATCACATTCCACAACTGAAAACTAAAAAGGTCAAACCTACATTTTTCTTGGCCTCTCTTTAAGAGCAGTCATTTTTTATTTTGCTAATAATAAAAAAAGAAGCTTTTGAACGTTCCCCCTCTATGTAAATTCAGGACACCAGCCGTGGTAGACCACAGCGGCAGAAGTATTTATCTTCCACAAGCTACTTTTGGCATATCCATCATTTGTGGGCTCTAAAACATAGTTGCATTTATTCTCCTATTCATTATCAACTAAAATATCACGCGAAAGCATAAAAAGACAGTTGTAATAAAAGGATGGACTAGAAGTTGAGACTTCATTGTGTGGTTTAAATTTGGATGACAAGAGAATGACTAAAATTAAAAGTGATGGCATTTTACCAAGGAAATCATAAGCCTCCTGCTATGGCAGAGGTGGGCTCTGAGTTATCACTGTGCCATGTGTAAATTACAGAAAACTAAGTTAAGCAGATCCAAACCAGAGGGAAATATTGTTGTAATTTACCCTGGGAGAAATAACAACGTATTGTTATAGTTTCTTTTTAAATCCTAAACCCGGAGCCCAAAATCTCACTTCAGCTAAAAGACAGGAGCAGTTAGGGCATGAGATTATAAGCATCTAGTGAGGAATTGCTCTGTTTGCAAACCTCTGTCCACGTGACAGACAGGCAATCTGCAAAAAGGCATGAAGTCAGGCATCAGTTATTTCTCATTCCTCCTTCCTTGCCAGCTTCCTTAGAAGAATAAAGTAAGAGCAGGTGGCAGCAGAAGACAGGTAAAAAGAAACTGAAGGGGAATCTGGGTGCAGCATTACAGCTAGGTCCCAGGAGAGCTCAGAGTATTGAGACTAGGAAAGCACAGCATCTCAGCAACATCTCCGTAAAGAGAAGGATGGCAGAGAAGAGTCATCAGCATGAAATGGCTGGAGAAATCTTTTAGACTTAGATGAAGGTGCTTCTGAAAAATGCAAAGGAAAGAGTCTCAGGACAGAATTAGGATCATGAATGAAAGATGAAAACAAAAAAGTCTAAGCCTCCAGAGTAATAAGTGAAGAATTAAAAAAATTCAGGAAACTGCAGAACTAGCTGCACAGCTGTAACAGGACATGCACTGAGAATTCAAACACATGGCTGCACTCACACTGTGAGGCTGCAGCGGAATACATTGGTCATGTCTAGGAAGGCATGAATAACCGGCTTCTTGGTAAGGACGAGGTACAAGGGAACCCAGTACAAAGCTGCCAGCTCAGCTCTGTTATATTCTAAATATACTCTGAAGTAGCATGCTGCGTTCCTGCCAGTGCTCCCTGCTTGTTCTGTCAGACTGCTGCTGAAGAATCCTAAAAACCCAGAGACTGCATCAGCTCACGGTTAGCTCGGCATGATGTGGTAGACCTTTCTTTAGAGCTTCATGCCAAATCCTCCTCATTACCTTCATTTTGATCTGCTGACATTCCACAGGCACATTTGATTGCATCACCCCCTTCGACAATCATACTTTCTTTTTATATCTGTGCTACTACCCTGCCTGAATTCAGGGCCACCAATTTGGAGAGTGAAATAACCGCTCACAGTAAGTTGACACTTCAGAGACTAGAGCAGTGAAAATTTCAAAGTATAGTCACCATATCTATGCAAACACCTGTTTGGCAAGAGGTTTCTTCTGTGAGTCAGTGCAGGTGTAAAATTTTATTACTCATGATCACACCTGTTGGTGCATGTGTGCCAAAAATCAGGAATAGCTAGATGGAGGAAAAAAATAAGAAGTTATGAGGCACACTCTGCTCTCAGAGCAATATAAATCCAAAGTAAGTTCAGTAAGATCATCTAAACTATTTTAAACTAACTTTACTACAAGTGAATGCAGAATTTGGCTAAGCACAACAAAATACTATTTAAAATCTCTCACAAAAAAAAACTTATAGAAAGTCATTACTTTCTAGAAAGTATATATTGAATACATTAGATATCCATGTGGATGAAACATACACAAGGCATACAAGCAATTCTGTAGATGCCCTAATATCCGAGGGCCAGGAACAAGTGCAGCTGGCTTTAAGTTATACTTTCATCCCAGGACTTAAATGTTGCAAGGCCTACCCCCATCAGCTTTTAAGGGGACTCGCAAAATCCAGATGTTTTTTCGCACACACACACACGCACGCACGTGTAAAATATCCCAACTTATCCCCATAGATTCAGCTAAGCTCAGAGATCAGCAGGTTTTTCTCACTTTCTTTATGCATCGGTCTCCTCCCACCCCCCCACACCCCCCCAAGGAAATTCTGGCAACCCTACAAAGTACGTCTTAATTTTTAACACAAACCACTACATTCTTGAGGTAACAGCAATGACTGGGATAAAATTGGATTTATTTAATTCACATCTACTGAAATGTTTCCACATGCATTAATTAGGGCTTAATAAGGCTAAATTAAGATATGTCTTTGCATGGCTTGAATGATATAGGGACACTATAATAGAGTAGCCCAGTGTCATCCAGAACAGGAGCTCCAGAAGCAAAGCTATTGAGATGTAAAATTAGGAACAGCTCGCAACACAAGTCATCTCCCAAGGAGGGCCAACTGTCAAAGCAAACTGCACAGTCATTCCAGATGATCTGCAATATATGCCAGAAATGTTTTTTCACTGTAAAAGACAATGTACTTACGTTGGCTCTTCTGAGACTGTTCTGGTCTCTTCCATTTCATGTGCCTGTTTAAACCACGGCAATTTTGCTTCTACAGGATTTTTTTCTGGTAGAGAAAAAAACCCGCAACCATTCAGTAAATCCTCCAAAACCAAAGCAATATGTAGATGTTAGAATTACTCACCTTAGCACTTCACACTTCACATGGCTTATTGATCTAAAGCTTTTTAATAAAGATACATTAGATAAAAAACATAATTTACTAGAAATTTCTTTATGATTTTTGAGCTCCATTCTGACACTCCTTTTTACTGAGAGGGTACCAGTAATCTAATTTTCATTCCTGTTTAATCTTTTACTTCCTTTCCAAATCTTCCCCAAATGCAGGCAGTTTCTAGTAGATTGTAGTTTACATCTCATTGTCATGGATTATCATCATAACTTAAGTTTATAGCTAAAAAAGAAGCCAGAGCATAGCAAACGCACATTGCTCTCCATGTACACTGGCTTCATTAAAACATTTTCACAGAAAACGCTTTTTTTTGCTGAGTTAGCCAGCTTTCCCAAAATTAGAAATTAATTTAAAAACCAGCACAATCTTGGTTTATCTGCCTATACGTTCTACACTTCTGTGATGCTTTTTCTCTAAGTACTATAAACCAGTGAGGATCTGTGCCTCCAAACTTAAGTAAAACCCCAGAAGAAGGTTCTTAAAATTTCAGCGCTAGTTTCTACTTCATGGTTTAATCCTGAACCATTTTCTACTTGAAGCATTCTCTAGAGCCTGAAAACATCCTGAAGAGAAACATAGGCTTTCACTTTTTCTACATAAATCTTTATGATGAGTTGTGAAGGTCTGAAATACAGCCTTTCAAATAAAAATTGAAAGAATGGGAACAGCACCCACTAAAATTTTCTGGGGTCAGAGAGAGAGAACCAAGCAAGGAACAAGATATACTAGTTTCCCCTCTCATCATTTTTTTTTTTCTTTTCACATTCCCACCTACTGTTTTAAAATTTAGAAACTCTTTTAGAGAATATTGGTCAATTTACATCGTTGTTACAGACCTTTTAAATATGCAGAAGTGGAGAAGAGAGAAGGAAACCAGTTTCATTATAACTTAATAGACTGATGAGGCCCACTAAGAATGTTGACACATTTAATGTGATGCAAACAAACAAGATCCCAGGTGATACATATGGAGTGTCATTCCTATTTCAAGTATTATTGAACAACTTCTCCACATGTTGAACTCATTAATTCTGGTTTTCCCAATTTAACCAGGCTGTATAGATTTAGTTAGCATGTTAACCTTATGACAGTCTGGCCACATTATCAGCAAAAAATATCAGCAGGGCACTTTTCCTAGCACCAATAATTAAAACACTTGTTTCTGCCAAGACTGAAATAAGTCCTAGTAAATTCCAGCTTCTGGCATTTCTGAAAAAGGTTACCAGGGGCTTTTAATTCTCTTAACAAAAATGTAAAACAATAACAGACCCAGACAAAATTCCAGTTACCTTTTGGCTTGTAACATGGTATTGGCACGATGCACTCTTCTTTTATGTGTAGTTTAAGCTGTGGATTACAGCCACCGACATGCTGCCCACGGTGGTCAATACACAGCACCACTCGGTAACGCAAGCCTCGGCCACAGGTCACCGTGCACTGCAGGAGACAACGCAACCATCTCACACGGTTTCTTTTTTTATATATTTATAAATACCAGTAAAAAGAAAGTTAGGAGTACTGATGATGTGTTCACTAAAGTTTTTCCACAGTCAATCAGGTATGACAGACGTATGAATTTGTCCCTGAATTGCTAGGTGAATAAAGAAAATGTTGATGCTGGAAAAAATGTCTATGTTTTGGGAACGCAAGCGATTTCTCGGGGTTCTGTAAGGCTTATCTGATTGGCAACAATCTGAAACAGAGGTGGCTGTGTACTCTCTTCACAGTGGTCATTTCCAGCTACAGCTGGGTCAGACGTGCTGCAAGAACTGTTTCTTCACTATGTCAGTGATGTCATTTGGATGAACTAAGGAATTATAGAAGTGTTGAGCTATCTGACTGTATCAGATAACCACAGCCAAGATAAGTTGGCTTTATGTTCTTGTTAATGTAATGAAAGGTAAGAATGCTGGAAAAATCACCCTTGCAGACATGTCAGTCCCTAGGCAGCCGTGCCTTTAGCTATTATATGCAGTGAAACATTACATTTATCACGAACTGAGAGACAAATGACCTGATTGCAAAGAGGCCTGATCTCTGGCTTTGATTTCTTCTCCGTATAAAGCAGGAATTCAACAGGCATAAATAATTCTATATACATTTTTCTTCAGATAGACGTATTAACATTTTGATTATCGGGCCAAATTACTTATTGCAATCTTCTAGTAATGAATTATGCTTGCAGGGTTATCTTTTAAGAGTCCTGTGCTCACAAATACATGGAAACACAAGAGCAGAGGCTTTCTTTAGAAAACTAGAATTACTTTTCAACTTACTTGAGACCATTCCATTGCCACCCATTTAGGACAATCAAACAGATTGCAGGTTTGAATGACTTTGGGCTTAGGGGCATACATGCATTTCCATTCTTCCACTTGTAGGATCTCTCCATGAATGGTCTCCTCAACACACACAAAACTTCTCCTCTGAATACCACCTCCACAGGAAACTGAACATGCAGTCCAAGGGTTATGTTCCCACCTGGAAAAAACTCACATATATTAAAAATAAGACTATTTTTTATTCCGCTAACCTCTATTAAAAGTGCAAAATACTGAATCCAACCTTAGTGTCTTTATCCACTGACAGTTTGGTTGCTGGATTCTCACCATAAACTGAATATAAATACATTGAATTACAGAGCCACCTTGCATTACTCCAGGCTTAAGTTCATGTGCAAAATGAGAAGAAACACAGAACAATAAATTTAAATATATTTCTCAAAATAACTGAAAATCTTATTCTCATACATAAGTTAAAGACCCTAAACATACTGAGTTCAATTACTGGAATGATGATACTTGCAAATAGTCTAAATAGAATGTAGCCTGGTCTAGTTGAGAGGCGTCCCTGCCCATGACAGGGAGGTTGGATTAGATGATCTCTGAGGTCCCTTCCAGCCTATGCCATTCTATGATTCTATGATTTTTCACAGTTAATTTACAGGGTCACATATACTCTTATTACCATTGTCAGAGACCAAGAAACATACATATTTGAGATTAAATGAAGTCCAAAGACAAAGACGGATCTGCCTCTGCTGACTGAGGGTGTTATTACCCACAGCTGCTCATCGCTGCCCACATCATGCAGACTACTCTTAAAAAAATCTGTTTATGAAAGAACTTTTATGGGAACTCTAATACTTGCTTTGGGTAAACCCAGTCATTTCATTTCAAACTGTCTTCATCCATAAGAACTGTGAACAAATTAAATTGTGACGGGTACCGTTTGGCTGGTCATCACTGCAGTTCTGCAAGAGTTTTCCACTCTCATTAAAGTGCTGTTTAATGAGTTTATATTCACACTTTCCAACTTGCTTCAAGCAAAAGGCAGCTGCTCATCCATTTCAGCTGCTTTGGCTAACCTAGCTGATTTCTTCTGAAGTAGGGAGATGCACAGATTAAGGAAAACTCACACAGCCGTGTCAACCAGTAGAGCTGTGGGGCAGCAGCCTCCATTGGAGGAAACAACCTGCTAGGAGGAAATATCTTCAAAACAGCCATCAGTCCATGATCTTGGAACTAACTACAATAAAGACGTAAATTGCTGCACGATCTGAAGTAAGAATTGTACTAAGATTTTTAGGTTGCAAACTCTGTTTCATTTATCTCTTGGTCTTAACATGAATCTACATTTAAGCAATCACTTCTCAACAAAACTAACTAACAATTTCAAAACAAAACAGCAAAAACTAACTTCAATAACGTGCTGCTCCTGACACGTTTAGAAATATCAGGCTTCTATCATAGCATTTGTCTACAGATTCCACTAAGCCCCACACAATTTTTCCTCATCCTTCACCTTGTATCTCTTGCTTACTTTCCACCACCCACCCAAACCAAAGCTAAGATCTGGGAAATGATTGAGTTCTGCAGCACATCTTATGGTTCATCAACATCCTGTTAGTTTAAAAATTATTCCTATTACAAATGCAGGGGCTCAGAAAGGATCATGAATAAAAATTATATCCATTATGAACAATGGACTCAGCAAAGTACTACAATATCCCACCAAAATAAATTAAGAGTAACTTAGCTATCATAAGGGAAGTCACAATGTCAGAGTAGATGAAGCAAAGGCCTATAAATCAAAGGTAAATTTAAGTAATTACTACCCACTTTCTATGATACAGCAGGTAAATCAAGGACACTTCCTATTTTAAGCAATTCATCAAACTGCCTACAGAAACGTATTAATCATGCTTAAGCTCAACAGAAGAATGAGTATGAAACATATAGCAAGCTATGGAACATTAACCATGGAGAATATACTCAAAAACATTTCGGATAAAGCAATATGCCCAGATACTGATATCATATCACAAGTACAAAACACATTTGAAGAGCAACAGCTACACTTTGCTTTGACTTAAGTGAACAGCTAGTGTTAACTCATTTTCTTTAAAAAAAGTCAGGAACTAAAGAGCAATTAACTATTCAATGAATTAGCAGCTCATGGATTTATATATATAAGACTTACTGTGCAATATGTAATACTAGCCTTGCAAGTGTTTATAGCATAAAGTTTTATAGTTGTTTTTCTTTATCTCATCAGTTTCGAACACATTCCAGATCCCATACTCCCATAGGCATTTTCAAGATGGAGTGAGGTCTATGGCTACTGGGGAAAAGGGGGGTCTTGGGCAAGCAGTCATGGAGATACTTTCCAGAACCCACAGCTGTCAAGGGATCCTCAACAGCCCAACAAGTCTGAAATAAATGGAGGCATTCCAAAAGCTTTAAAAGAAAATTTTCATCCTGGGAAATTTTTCTATTTATTTCAAAAGAATTCTCCATCTGTAAAAATATTTCAGCGGGGCATTTACAACTCTAGCCACAGGAGAACTCTTTCAAGATCTTGTGGTGCACACCACGACTTCCCACAACTTCCTTGTGTGAATGGGAAACTAGTGGTAAACGCCACAGGACTGCAAAGCAGTGCTCCACATGGCTCTCGTGTTATGTAGGAGGTGTGATGTATGACTGCTGGTCAAGGTGAAGGAGTCTGTACAGCTTTGCTCAAGCATATCTACAGCACTTTGGTTTTCTGCCTGCTTTGCAAGAACAGTTTTGGGCTAGCATGTCAGAAACAGGTAAGAAAAGAAAAAGAAAAAAAAACACAAGGCGGAAGAAGCCCCAGAAAAACTGGCACAGGCCAACACATTGCAGTTGCTTTACAGGCAACAGCAGAGAGAAGATACATCCTGCTACACTGAAGCAAGACTTGCATCCACGCTGGACCAGATTCACCTCATGATGCGGGCATAAAAACTGCGTGTTTCAGCTGCTGTTTTTTTCAGAAGTTCCAGCAAGAACAGGTGCTTTTACACCTTCATTGCGTTTCTTTATGCAGCCTCCCAGTGGAACACAGCCTGTTTCCTTTCTCCCCTTCCTGCTGGAACCAACTCTGATCCCTGCTTGGCTGTCTGTTATCTTACAGTTCTTACTCCTGAGCATTACCTGGGAAGACCATGATACCTTCTGACAGAACACACTGAGGTGTCAGAACGAGGTGGGCCTTCGTCCATAGTTCCCAGTGTTTGAAATAAGAGAACCTGCCCCAGCTTTATCACAGATATAACCTATCTCATCACAGTGCCATGCAAACATGCTTAGCACAGTAAGGCACAGAAAGGGGAATTAAATTTCTCTTCTAACTGGTCTCAAGCCCTGAGCAGTTCAGAAGGTGAAATACTCATGTAAATGTGCTGACTTCCAAAGGAGACCTGAAATACAAAGGAATTGGCAAAAGAAATGGAAGGAGAGAGACACAGAATATAATTATGGAACTTCATGGGATAAAGCTATTGAGGAAAAAAAATCTCAATCTATGTATGAAAGCCAAAGTACATCACAGGACAGCAAATCTACAACAAGTGTAAATTGCTACAAAAATAAACTGTGACATTTATATCAGCTGTAATCAGTAGCTCCACTGAGCCATGCAAGTCCATGATTTCATTCTTATTACTTCATATCTTTACTTCTTTAGAAAAATACACATTATTCATTTCATGACATAATAAAAGCAGAGGTTCAACTCAGATAAATACGCATCTAACTCCATCAACTATAATTCTTTACATTAGCAGTAAACCTGGCTCAATGCTTTTTGGTCTTAACATCCTTTACGAAGCATCTAAACCTTCCAGAGAAGTTTTACTTTCTTGTGATTGATGCAGGTCAAAAAAAAGAGAAAAAGGCAACAAACTGCTCTGATGACCTAATTTTAGGCAATAGATATTCAGACAACTCAGTATCTTTAAAGTGGTATGTCAGTCTTGATGTCAATAAACAGAGTGTAGGTCTAAAGAAGAGCAGAAGAATGAGACCTCATGGGGAAAAGCATTTATATAGAGTCCTGTAACATAGGGAGATGTGTTCTATAAATGAATATATTCATTACATACATCTTCAAAATAAAAACCCTTTAAGACAAGAATTTATACATGCATTTTAAAGGAGATGCTCTTCTCAGCACTGCAGCAGGAGAAGGCCTAGGGGGACAACTCTTTATTCTAAAGTCTTCAAAGCTGATAATTTCAAGAAGAGCATATTAACCTCTTACTGTTAAACTAATTGTTCAAAGCACATGGAAATAAATCAGAAGCTTCAAAAATTTGTACAGGATTGTTCTCACACTCCTGTACAGCAATAAAAAGTCAGATGTTGCATGATCTTAGTAGTCAAATAGTACATTTGCAATGAATATTGTGCTAATGCTGACACATATGCTATCCTGATTATACATACCGAGGAAGTGGCTGGAAGTGATCATAGGGCATGATTTCTTTAAATCCATCACTGTCAACAAAATAAATATTGCATCATTATTTCTCATACCCAAGACTGTACATCAAGTACATGTTTTTACTGATCATGCTTAAAGTAAGCAATTCCCAATGTCAAATGAGGGAATCTTACATTCATTGCACATTACCCTTGTGGTAAACAATGAGTAGTATAATCCTACCACTTCTGCAGGGATAGAGATCTATTCACCATACAGCTTCTCCACTTCATACCATCAAAAAGAATATTAAATGAGCAAGCCTTTGGCAGATAAATTTATTATCAGTGATCCTTTAGGTCTGTGTTACTTCATTAACAGGAAAATAAGTTATATACTTATACCTGTAACAAAGACTGCTGAGGAACATGAGTAGCAGTGAAATAAATGCATCTCAGGATTAATTCTAGATTGATCCTGAGCAGTGCTTAGGACCCTTGTAGAGCTGTTCATTTGAACTGTACAGCATAGAACAGGCATAAAGCTTTACTACCAATACTAAGAAATATGGTGTTATATCCAGTAGTGCTTCCCTTTTTCTGTCTGTATAAGTTAATTTTGAAAGGAAAAAGCTTGTTATGCCTTTTTTTTTCCTAATTTTCCCATTCCGGCTTTGCAAAATTTGGCACCCATTGCCATTAAGTGTTACTGAAGTTTTACCACTCCATATAGTGATCACCTCTCCAGGAAAAAAACTTGAAAGTCTGCACATCTATGACTGTTAGAGGTCACTATCAATGACTAAGTTCAACAGGAATGAAAGGAAATGGACAGTTTAGCTATAGGAAATGAAATCTATTGAGAGTGTTTCCTTTTCTTGCATATAACTCTAGCTCGGCCAGCTGGCATATTAATGTGAGGTTCTGGGACTTGATACTGTGATGTTATTTTAAGATTCTTTAGCACAGCCAGGAAACCTCACCAGACAATCCAAAAGTTAGTTTGAAACACTGCAGTGCAATTCAATACAATTTATGTGTACTATAGTCCTTATAATTTGGCAATAATATTCTGTGGTACTTGTATCACAAACATATTTACTTTTAATGATTTTCTTTTTTTTTATTCTTAGTGTAAAAAAACAGACAAAACCCTCAAGCTTTAATAATTGTCATCGCCACAGTACAAGTGAAGAATGAAACTTTTAGAGTAAGCAGATGAATAAACCAAGTTAAACTATGTACAAAACTTTACATTGACTGCGAACTGGAGCTACTGGCTTTCTAATGAGAAATCTTGAATGGCAGCATCAATAAATCCAAAAGCAGGCAAATAATCTATCCTCCTCGCACAACCTCATAAAATCCTTGTACTAGTCCTATATCACTCAGCAAAAGTCATGAAGTAAAATTAGCCCTTGAACAAACTAATTGATATTTACAATATCTCTGTATAAAGTCAAGTCTCCTATTCTACAACACTGAAAAGTGCCACATCTGCTGGCAGTGGTGCCAGAGATCAGCCTTTAACACATGCAATAATCAACCAAGATTAAGTAGCCCCGAAGACGAAAATAACTGAAATTAAATAAATATGATTGCTTGTTCTTTAGTAACTGACTATATCACACATTTAAATCTAGTCGTCACACAAACCTAGACGGGCAGGGATCCATGTTGCACTCTTTTAGCTTGGGCTTTGGTTTCTTATTTTCTGGATAGTAATGACAATAGTGGTCAGGAACAACACGCTTCAGACGAATATCCACACATTCAGCTGAATTAAGCTGATAACCTAATGCAGAAGCGAAATTAAATTTTGGTAATGGAGACAAATTAAAGCAGCTTTATTTCCTCCCCCAGTAATGCACTGCTCATTGAATTAATATCATGTGTTTGCTTTCAAACAAGGAAACTCTGCACAGGAACATGCAGGACCAGATCTTCATTTAAGGCAATTTGGCATAACAATTATGTTAACCTATCGTAACACTAGATGAGACTCTGACACATTATTCTAATAATATTCCAAGTATAAGAGTAAAAGCATACATATTTTTATGTGATGCAGGAATACACATACTAGAGCAGCTCACCTGTCACAGAGGCAAGCCTACAAAGTCATATGGTTCTGCTACATGTTCCACAATTTATAACTGCCCTCCCCCAAGGAGGAGTTACCATGTATGTTAGAGAGCTACATTACACAGTCATGCATGCTAAAAAACCCAAATACTTTAAATGGAAAGCCAGAGGAATTGAAGATGAGATCCAAAAACATTGTTAAGTTAAACTGTAGAAAACCAAGAAATAGTTTCAAGAACATTCCTAGTTGAAGAGCCAATGAAAGAAAACTTGAAGTAACTACTCGGCTGGGAGGGGAAAGGGGGAGGAAAAAAAAAAAAAAAAAGAAGAAATCTGTGTGGAGACTGGTTACAAGAAAGGATTTGAGTTTTATAAACCACTAGGTTGTTTTTTTGGCTAAGAAAAGAAAAGACTCATTCAAAAGAGCTGACTTGGACTTAAACTGTGGAGAGGAGGAGGATGTTCTGGTATGTGCAAAGAAAAAAAAGTTTGAAACCACAAGAATTAAAATCCAAATAGAGTCAATAAACTAACAGCACAAGTCCCAGTGTCTACTGAAAATGGTAAGTATCATATATCAATGGCTTCACTTGTGTGTCTCTTGGCTGATTCAAAGTGTCATCATGCATGAGAGTGATAACCATAAAGAACTACCAAGCAGTTCCAGTATTCAAAGCATGTATGTTCCAGTTCTTGTAAGTACTGAAAGGACCCAGAAAATATGACACGTGCAAACAAGATAAACACAATTTTAAAATATTCTTGTTCATTCGAGCTTGACTGTGCTTTCTGAGATGCCCATCACATTCCCCCTTTCCCACACATTGAGATTACAGAACTAAATGTAGAAGCATCATCCAAGCAAGGGATGGTGGTGCACTGATTCCAAGTCTCTGTTGTGACAAACTTTTTTTTTTACTTCCAGTAAAAGGCACCAAGCAATCTGGATACTAAATCTGTTTTAAGGTAACAGGTTAAAGCCAGGCAGCTGCAATACAACTTCCTTGCATGCCTCAGTAATATGCCATTCTTAATGCCACTACTTTCACGGCTAAGCAGTAGCTTAGTTTCTGCACTTCTTCAGTTACCAGCCTCTCAGGACTGCCATCGAGAGTCAAGCACTGTTGTTAAAGGTACCAGTTTCATATTACAGAGGTACAGCTACAAAGTAGGGCATTGAAAACATGGGCTAATTTCAAAGAGATTGACATGTAGCTATAATTTTCAAACCATAACATCCATCTGAACAAGGCTGGATTTGAGCCAGTTACTTTGAAGGTAAATGTGTCCCTTGAGCTATCCAGTGTTCACACGCAGTCCTCAAAAATACCTCGATGCTTTACACTTCTTCCCTTGTCAGACAGGTTAGAGAAAAATTCATAAACACAGCGCGATGAATCATCAGAGGATACGTATGGCCACTCGCAGTCCAGTAAGAATCACACTTCATGAAGCCAAGTATCTTGTAAGATACAGTAGTTTCCTGTGGGACTACATATTATACACATACATTGTCTGCAGTTCAGATTAAAGTGAGGTGCAAGTGCCAAAATGATGGTCCATCAAAAGATCTCCAGATTTTGCCTGTGCTTTAAACATCTTTAACTCTTTTTACTCATGTCCCAAGTAACTGTTTAAACCATAGTTGTACTCTCCAAGAAAATCACTGCACCAGTGTCACTAGTATCTCAGTCTGTTTAAGTGACCTGAGTAATACTGGCTGAACTGAAATAGATATCTACTTCAAACACTCCTACCATGAGGCCACGCTTTTTGCAGACCAGACATGACAAGCAGTGGGCTGGGTGAGCACTAACAGAGCTGAGCTGCACTTTGTCTAACTATCGTATAAGCTGTAGTGTTTAAACCAGATACTACAACACACTACCTGCTGCTCTAATAACCATGAGGACTAAGTGTCTAGGATCAGACAGCCATAGGTATTGATAGTAGCTGTTCTTTAAATTTTATTTACTTATTCTGCTTTCTGTGTAACTAATTTCTAAACTAAGTGTTCTAAAACTCTCCCTTATGTCTACTACTGTGGCCAGAAATAAAAAATAACTTCTTCCTTCGTCTCTTGCTTATCGTTATTTTAAAATCTTATTGGTTTTTTTTTTTTTTTTTACTTTCCCCAAATATCCTTTCTGAATTGTTATTTTCCACTTGGAACATTCTATCTCTATTTCTTAGTCAAAGTTCTTACTCAAACAACCATTCCTTATGAAAGAACACGACTTCCAGTAGTATAAGGTATAAAAAACCCTATGCTCATACTAACTTAATCAACCAACTTACCTGCTACTCTGTCATTTATTTTTCTGAAGAAGAGCCAGTGTGCAAAGAAAAACAAACATTTAATCAATAAAAATGTAGAATGAAAGTTGTAAATCAGCCACTTTTAATCTTCAGCAGTAAACACTCCTGAAGAATTGCCATTACTTACCTCCTCCACACGTCACTGTGCAGGGGAAAAAGTCTGTTTGTCTCCATTGATGACTGATGGGTTGATAGAAAAAGAACTGAACCACACTCTCTTTTGATCCAGAGTACCTGGTCTGAATAAATTTCCATTACAACGCGTGTATACCATACTCTATCATTCACATAATTTCAAAATATAATTTGTATGTAATAGCAGTGCAGAGAGTAATATGAAAACAGGCATAAAACTTCTAGAAAGTCTAGAGTAACTATTACATTTAAGTTTCCAATAATCAAATACTTGTATGTTGCTTTTTTTCCAAATTATTGAAAGTACTAACATGACTTTGATTATCAATCTTTGATTGGCAAAGTTCCTGACTGTATTCTACCTCAGCTCTTCATTACTAAAATTTTAAAAATTTGCTGGAGAGGGAAGTCAATAATTGACCTAAGCACACTGGTTCATATTTAGGCAAGTCTAACTGCACATGTAATATTGGAGATGCAAAATAAACGCTACTGCAATTCTGTTTCTACAACGTGACAGATAAAGCCAAGGGGGTGTGATAATACTGAAACACCTGTTGATTCCAAAGGAGAACTATATGACTATCTTCCTTTGGCAGCAAATATTGATATGTTTCTACCTATAAATATCTGCATATATGATGCAAGCCATCAATACGTGGTCTGGGTAGAAGAGAAACTTAAAAGAATTAGAAATGGTCAGTAGCTGCATTAGCAATGTCTAAGGGAAATTCCAGGGTGCTGCTGGAAGCAATGCTCAGGTTCAGTAGGTGGCAGTCTGCAATTGGATTAACACAGATCCAAGGCATAGCACCACGCTGCTATTCCTTCAATTATATTTTAAACAAAAGTCATGGCCATTTTTACCATTAAAGATCCTGTGGTACTTTCCACTACCACAAGGACATTAACTTTGTAATATTTGAATTTGTTTGGATATGCTTACTATAAGTTATCTCTGGACTTAGATTCGGATTCTTTATTTGCTAGCTAAAGATTCTGTTGTATTGCTACAACCTGATGGACAGTCACCTACTCTGTTGCATATACTGGCAATATCTTAGAAGATTTGTACATAGTACATCTCACCTTGATAATGAAATCTGCTCCAAGAGGTCCCTGGATCTTTATGATTTCCCTGTCTGTACTCTTCTGAAATTCAACAGTTGTATTTTCTATGACAAATGTTCCAGGAGCATTGAAACTGTGCTCTCCCTTGTCTCCTTGTAGTGTCTTTGATTCTATAACTAAAGAAGAAACATGCAAGTAGTAAACTTACACAGGATATATTTTCTTTTCAAGGAAGTCAAAGTAATGTTTACAAATTTGCTTTGCAAGTAGCAGTAGTACATTTGCATTAAAAAAAGCCACACCGAATATCTGTGAGAATATTAGCTGCTTCAGATTATAGGCTGATACATAATTGCATGACAGGTCAGCACAGGAACATCTGCCTGAACATGCTATTCTCTCATACCAGAAGCACTTCTGAGACAGTTTTTCCTACACCAAGTGCTCTATATTGTTATAAAGCAACAGATTTAGCAGGACAAGCTGAAAGAAACTCACAAAACAGATAGAATCTATACACAGAAAAGCAACTCATACTTCAACTTGAAAGCCTAGCAATTTCAGCAATCAGTCTCCAGAGAAGCCTGAATCGTGTCAAACTCACCAAACACTCACCTCAATACCTGTATCACTCTACCCATTCCAGAGGTCATTAACTCAGCTTTTAATATTTCCCATGTGAGCAAAAAGCAAGGCCAGGAGGTGGGTAGCTGCAGCACTGCCGGAGGGATGTCCCTTGCTCAGAACAGGTGGTGAAAGCCTTTTTTGAGCTATTCTGCATTCCTTGGAAACTGATTAAACTAACAGCCCACAACTCCAAAAGACAGATGAAGTCTTTTAGGATTGAGTCACTTCCAAACTGACTGAACTGTAAGTGGACCAAGCTAAAGGAAGATATTCATGATGAAGATAGAATTTTGGGCTCTGCATAATACAGTGTATGTGCACAGCAAGATGCGTGACTTGAAATACACTGGTCTGGTTATGATCTATCAGGGCATTGCATGAGAAAGGCATGAATCCCAGATGAGCTCAAGGCTAGCTAAAAGGAACCTTTTGATGAGCTATAAATACACTTTTTCTCCAACTACATTGCCTTTTTTGGTACTTGAAACAGTTACCTAATTCAGGCTAGATAATTTAGGTTAAGAGCATGTTTTTACCTGCACTGAAAGAAAACATATCCTGAATGCTACAGTCCATCATGACTGTTTTCTTCCTTAAGATCTTTCAAAAGAATACAAATGCATTCTGAAGCATTCCCAACAAAGTGAGCAAAGAAATTCTAGAAGAAGAAAACTTCCTTGAAAAGGTACCAACATTATCCCCAGTTTCTAAGCACTAGGTTCCACTATGCTCATAGGTATTACAAAGATCACATACATGGCTGGGACGAAGTTTAAGGAGGGATATGTTTCTAGGAACTTACTTTATGTTGATCCTAGGGTAGGAACCTAGTGGTGAATCAAATGCACTTGTCAAAGAGAAAAAAATCTCGGGGAATCAAAGCGCTCCATTGTCCAATGCATTTGCATCAGGAACAAATGGTTATAAGCAAATCACAGAAAAAGCAACAAGACAATTAGTATATATTTTTGTTTGTAACTTTTATGAAGTTTTCTTTCCTGATCATATTACAAAATAATCTTTTAAATATCTGGAACTCAGTATTGTTGGATTAAGCTTCTCGAAGACTTGACCTCAAAAACTTACACGGCTTAACAGTAAATTAAGTGCATGATGCCTGTTATTCTGTCATTTTGTTGAATAAGAGTCAAGCCACCAAATTTCAAGTACTTCCAACTCCACACACAGTCAGTAGGATCCTCAGGAGTACAGGACTCCTTTGAAACTAGCATCTAAGATTGCAAAGCAAGACATCTGGCTTTTGCAAAAAGATTTTAAAGATGTTAATTTTGTGACCCAAGTTGCATTACTTTACAGTCTTTATGTTCATTTTCTTAATAAAAATAATTTTGCTGTTTTTCTAAGCATAAACCTACCATATTGTTCAGCAACCAACAAAATAACTCACTGAGAGCTGACATACATTTATATGTTGGAGCTACACTAGATTTGAATCCACAGCATGTGTTTATTTGCAAAGCCCAGCTATAGAGTGATGACCTGTGTCTCTGGAGGTCGTGTCAGTGAAGCTTAGAACAGCTGCTCAGATTTTCCAGAAGCGTGTCACACAGGGAGGTGAAGGGCTATTCCACAGCACAATGGATAACCTCTTATGCAATATTTTTCTGCTTCATAATATCTAGTGCTTGTCATCACAGGCTTCTACAACAGAGTGAAACCAAGCATCTAGTGCATGCAACACATACGTAACATAATAATTCTTATTAGGAAGCAATTCCCCAAAACACTGTATTGATTTCAGAGCAGTAACTGGGAACAAAGATTTCACCAACTGGTGTATAGGCAAGGTTTAGATAAGAGTTCACCAAATATTTATTCATTCTGCAGGGTCCTGTAATCCTGGGGAGGTGGGAAGTTTGGCTTCAGGAGTAAGTTTCCCCATCCTAAGTTAGCAAAACATTTCCTTGAGGGGTCTTCAGGACTCCAGACGTACAGAGTCACAAGGACATAGAATTCTCTTGAATGCTCACATGTTTCTGTGCCCAACGAGATAATCACTGGTGCTGAAGACCTATAACTGTCTGTCTTTATGTTGCTTCCCTTCCCTTACCTTGGAAAAAAAGAACATTTTCCCCAAGGAAATGCCTTGTCTGGCTGTGGATGGAAGATCTACTGCAAAAGCCTCCTATGATCTTAGCAGCAGGCAAGAGTAGGGCAGCCTGGCATGGGGAACCTTGCTGTGTAGAGAGATGGAAGAATTCTCAGGGAAATAGCTCCTGCTCCCAGTGCAAGAAGGAGCAAGTCATGTTGCTACCCACAAGCTCTTTCTTTTCCATGCAGTTTGTTTGTAGATAGCACACTACAGGGCCCCAAAATAAAATATGCTTTCTTTTCAAAACGCAAGACACATTGTCTTCCTCTTAGCATCTGTCAAAAGACAAAGCAGTGCATAGATGTATAGCTAAATACCGTCAAGTAGTGCAAATCACTGCAAGCGGAGAAGGAATTGACAAAAAGGGAAAAAGGAGTTTCAGTTCCTTTTAGTGAAGTTTAACCTCCCTAAGTTCATGAACTCAGTTATCTAGCATTAGCCACTTGTAAAAATATTAGCTTCTGGTTTTCCTGTTTCTTCTGCTGGAGGATCAATTTCAGGGAACTTTCAGTCTTCCTTTTGATTCTAATGCTCTTAAAACAACTGCGAGAAAAGCCATAATATAGTCCAAATCAAAAACAAAACCAATACAATGAAATATTTTATTCATAATCATTTTTTATACTAATTATTTGGTTATTTTCCACTGAATCATTCCCAAAATCCAAGCAGACGGAAGTACAAGAGAGATCTGTTTGTAAAAAACCCAAAGTAACACCTTTGCTCTCTGATGAATCTGTTGCGTGTCTTAAAGTGTCCACGCACACAAACAAAATACTTTTTTTTTTACCAGCTACAAAGAAATGCAATCTTTCCTAAAACACTAAGCTGCTGATTGTAAAATGATGTTCAGAGCATTTATTTATTTCAAATCTGTTATATGCTGCCTCTCCAACCAGATTTCCATTTTTGATTAATCCAGCAGCTGTGTTTCCCTGGAACAAGAGCAGATCATAAAGCCCAGGATGAAGCACAAAAGAACAGAAGATAGAGGGAAAAGTGCCAGACACTCCATAGTGCGCAAGTGTTTGCTATTGCTGCTGACTTGACTTGAAGAATAAGTATACACTGGCAACAGGAGGTAGTATAAAATTCTACAATAGGTAGTCCCTGCGCCACCTGTTAAATTCAACTCCTTACAAGCCAGGAAGAACACCTCTGACAAACGGAACCTGTAATTATAGGTGATTACTTTTTAAATTCTGCCTTTAGTTATACCAGCACACCATACAGAAGTCAAAGATGGTGCAGATCAAAGACGACTTGATATTTTCTGTTGTGACAGATATCCAGAAGCATACATACAGTCAGAAAGGCGAACAAGCGAGTTGTCCCAAAGCACATCCCCTAGAACATCAGTTCTTGAAGATCTAGCTATGAAGCCAGAAGCAATTTCCACTCCCTCCCCACAATCGCTCTCACTTGCTTTTCATCTCTGTCATTTTAAATATTTTAGGTAACAAAAGTCTAAATCCTCACAGATTTGCAAACAGATGTGCTGGGGAAGTCGTTAAAGGAACATTTCACAATTCTCGTTCAGCTAGAGAACTAGCTAACAAAGGTAATGCCAAGCCACAGCTTCTTTATGGAACCACCCTGGGTAGGAAGCCAGGAGTACTCTGTACTTAGTTACCGAGTTGCTGCTGCATTCCTCGGTGCTTTCCAGAAATCCCCCAGGAGCCACTGAATCTAGTACTTTCTCTTCATATGAAGCTGAAACAACAACTTCCTTCTGCAGAACTACTTAAGAAAGACCAAGAGTCCTGACCTGAACTGGTCAGGATCACTCCTTCATACATCCCTTGCAACAGTTTTACATGAATATTATTTATTTCAAAAGAAGTTTAGCTTTGTACATCATTGATATCAGTGTTATAGCTAGAAGTTATCGTCACTCTGGAGCTACTCGAAGGTGAAAGTCTTATTTCGTTTTTTCTTTGAAAGAAAATGACGATATATTCTTCAAAGCAAACAAATAGATGAGCAATTTTCAAATAAAATGCATTTCTGTCTTCTATTTACATATATCAGAGCAGAAGTAGCCCTTTTTATTTCTATGATTCAGATTAAATCTTCTACTTTTACTAATAAAAAAATTGCTTGAAATGTTAAACGAATGGTTTCTTTCATTGCTCGGTATGGCAGTCTGACTTACCATTGAAATGATTAGTTCTTTATGTAAAGTAGGCCTATGGGTGAAGAAATCACCATAGACACTACCATCAGCCTTGCAGAAAATATTAAGAAACAAACATCTAACGGAATAGCAAGGTTTATTGTAATGACCGAAAGTACTACGAGGAAACAGGACTTGTGTAGTTAATTTTATGTATTTTGTTTACCTTAACTCATTTTTGCCTAGATTACTTTTGCTTGACCACTGCTCACTGACCAAGTGTGACTTCAACTGGACTATTTGCACTATCTCAGACTATTCAGCACAAATCTGGTGCTGGGTATACGCGTACTATTGATGCCACATACAACACTTTGAAAGTAATTTTGACATAATTGTTTGCACGTGGTTTAAGAGTGTACCATATTTTAGTCATCTTATATAAGAACTTCTTGGTTTACAGAAATGTAGAAACCACCAGTATGTATACTATTTCTTTTTATTAAATGGACTTCCAGGATCATCTCCAGGCTGGATATAAAAGATGGAAGGAATCAAGGAGGAATCAAGGTCATGATCTTACGCGTATTCCCAAGGTTTGGATGAGTTCAGACACAAGTTTCTTTTTTTATCTTCTGCCTATGAATAAATACATAAAACAGCTCAGTCATACCAAGGTGTGCTGGTCCTTTTAGGGTAATTCTCACACTGCGACTCCCATGTGGTACAGCAATCACGGTTTCTTCCCCTAGGAAAATTAAAGAACTGCTTTAGATCTTGCATCAGGGAATTTGCACATCACATAACTAGACTGAAAACCGTCAAACACGTCTAAGAAAATATTTAACAGGTTTCGCAATTTTTCTATTAAAAATAATCATGTTATTTTATTAAGTACAGTATATTGAGTCTGTTTGCTATGCTATGCAACTATTAAGACTTACAAATGGACTTGTAAATCTTTCTTGCTATTGGAAAATTATTTGCTATTAACAAAAACAACTGAAGTATCAGTAGTGTATTAGGAACATATTTACACTCTGCTGTCCTAGTTTTATTTCCTAATCACTGAATCGACATAAGGAATCTGCTAAGTAGTACTTCCCCCTTACAAAAATCTGCAGCTGTTCAGTCTCGTTTTGCCCACACCTCATTTCCTGCTGCAGGTCACAACTTTAATAAGTGGCAGGACTTGCAGGAAATAAATCATCTACTTAACACTAACCTTTAACCAATTACAGACCAGTTAAGAGCAAATATATATTAGCTATAATGTATATGTTATAACAGAGTGTCTGCATCTAACCTACCGTATAAGATCATTCCTTCCAGTAAGCGCCTCAGTTTAAAATTAACTATAAACCAAACCAGCCCTGAATGGGACATGTCAATACAAACCAGCTTTTGGCTGCCTGAATGGCCTCTTCGTATATAAATGTACAACACACTTACTTCAGTGCATTTTACAAACCAGAAAGTTATTACTTTCCATTTCAAATGTACGAAATCTGTGATTTGCCCAAGCAAACTGAGTCAACAATCAAATCAGTAGACCAGAGCCTTTCGTGCCAACTAGAGCAGTTCTCGCAGATAAGGGCATGCACAGTGCACGGCAGCGATATCCACAAAAGGACGAGAGAAGTGTCCAAGCAATAAACTACCTATGCGCTGTCTCTCTTTTCCATCACGGCCCAACTGCACATCTTCTTTGAGGCAGGACCTGTAAACATGGGCCATTGTAGGTACACCCCACAGAAGGTGTGCTGTTCAGGGATGGTATTGTATTAATCATCTAACTGGTGTAGAGGAAGGTCATTCTTGCAAATTCAAGACGTAATGTGAATTGGAGGTCAGTGATACACTGGCTCCAGAATTGCTAGTACAATATACAGAGGAAGAATATTCGAGTTTTGTTTTAACTAAAAAATAGTTGAAGAACATTTCTTTTCACTTTAAACCAGACCCTTTTATAGTAGATGCTAAATTATCAGATTCTGGTTTACATCTCCTTAGCATAAGTATGAAATCCTGCCAAATGTTCAGGATACTTCAAGCAAATACTGCAATTATTTTTTCTGAAATAAACACCTTCTTAGGTTACAGTTTTTATATCGCCAATTCTAGGAAGGTCATTTAAATATAACAATTTATTTTGGATGTAATAAAATATGATCTTTATTAATTTCATACTTGGGTATTCCACTAGAGTGCAAAATACTACAGTAAGAACAATAATACAGCTAAGGAGCCCTGGAAAAAACATTAACTACTGAACCACTTAATATCTTTTTGCATCTTGGTTTTTCATCAGACGAATTGCTAAAGATAGCCAGAAGGTAGTGGGGATGTGTATATCTTTAAAGTAAGGAAATAACTACTGAATTCATATGTGCTGTACCGTATTTGAGAGAAAGCAGGTTTGAGGGGCCCATCTGTCCCTACTTGGTCAGGAATCCTATCCTGTCTTGACAACCAACCAGCAGTTATAGCACAAAACCTCAAATAAGAGTCTGATTATGACCCGTTCTGAATACACACAACTGCTGTTTTGAAGTGGAACCAAGGGCACTCCGTGCTGAACGGCCGAGGCCAGATTTGCAGATGTGCAGAGATGTGTAGGACTGCTCCTCCTGAGAACATCCAGGGCCGTTCTGCTGTGCTTCCTCCACCTCCTTTCAGCAAGCTCCGCTCGCCTCGGCAGGCCTTGTTGATCCCTTTTCAGGATGCTTCACATTCTTTTAGCAGTACTACGGACATTCCACCCTCACCGAAGCACTCTCTGATATGGTCCAAAAGTCTCACGAGGGTGCTAAATTTGGTGTTGCTCTTCAGCAGAGACAATGTTACCAGAAAGTATTTTATTTGCATTAGAGGAGATGACTGAGTTCACCACCACAGCAATGTTCAACCTCTGCAGCCCCACAGACCTGTCAAGAAGTCTGACAGCAGAAGATCTTGTAACCTGAGATAATTATGACCTAGGGCAGTCTTTTCCATGAGATGAAGTAAATTACCGGAAAAAAAAAAAAAAAAAGAAAGAAATCAAAGTGAGGGTTTTGGAATTCTGAACAGAGATGCAAAATTGGAAGAAAAAGGGACAGAGCTGACCTAAGGGACTCCATCTTCTCCTGAGGACAGTTTTTACTTCCTACAAAACAGTAGTTAATACTGTTCAGGTCTGGATCCAAAACTATATATTCCAAAGGCCTCTGGTTCTCAGTTGAAGCATATAATTCATATTCTTAAAGGAACACAAGGTCCTGTAAACCCATTTAAAAATGGTTATGTGTACATTTTCCATTAAATCAGTAGGATCCGCACTGTTAAAAGCAGTGAACTGTTATGAAAACACAAGGAGAAATTCCTGCCCTGAAATCTATACTTAGAATTTCCACAATTATCTCCTTACTCCCCACTCCTTACACTATTTATGTATCTTTGCAGGTTAATTGCTGATCTTTGTCTAAAGCTGAAAACAAATAAGCTCAAAATCATCCGGAACATGCAGAGACACTAGACTGTAAAATCTGATTTTAGAGTCGTAAAGCTCGCCTTAAAAACTGAGAAACGGGTTAGATACCGTCTCTCTATTCTAACACTTCTTCCACTGCAGGGATTCCCAAGGGCACGTGGACCATCTTTCTCCAGCACCTGCTTGAAACGGCTTTCTGCTCTTGCCCAGGGACCCTCTCGGCAAACGTGTGCGCGCGCGCACACACCACGCGCGGCACTTGCTCATTAAGCTCCCGGATTGCTTTTACTTTAGACGGCAAGGTTTGATCCTGTTTCTATGGTGCTAATGTGGATTTAGATTTTGGATTTCAATGAGAGCAAGATCAGACTCCCTGCTATGGTAAGACTGGGAGCTAATCCCCAGGATCAAAATAAAGGAGCCACATTCCTGAGCTCAATCCAAAATATTTATTTTTCCATGTGGGCCATGGTGGACCCATTTACTGTTTCGCTTATGGGCCAGTTGGGATTTTTCCCTCTCTCCTCTTACAGCAGGGCAGAGGGTTTATTTCAGGCCTATAAAAACTGTTTCTTTCCATGTATTTGCTCAGCATTTACCTGCTGGTCCTACAGTTCTGATCAAAGGTCTGTGTGCCTCAAAATACAAACAGCAGCAGCCCAGGAACAACTATCGGCACAAGGGAACTAAAAAGCTCAAAACGTCTGAAGTCTTATTGCAGTGCCTTCCCTCACCCACTCTAACATCAGGTGTCATTTCAGAAGACTGGTGCTGGTGTATGTGCTGACCCGCCTACTGACAAGAATCTGTGCAAAGTCAAATACATCCTCTTTAAGAGACACCCAAACTGGATAGGTACGTCCCACTGAAAGCAGCAGTTACATATCTTGGCCCTAGAAGTTACATTGCAAAATCTGCATGGGCACATCCTTTCTGTCCTTAAGTCCTTCCCTCTCCATCTCACACTCTCCCACTCCTCCTTCCCTCTGTCCACTGGTCCTATGACTCAAGCCTGTCTCTTCATCTGAGAGTGCCACTTCTTTGCGTTGTTGAGTAAGTATTTCTGAGGTGTGGTAACTTGCTTTTGAGACAGTGTGACCTCAACTCATCTTAGTTACGTACTTCTTTCTACTTCTGGACACCTCTTCTAAAATTTGTATGCGCTGGAGAAAATGTACAAAGACACACAGTAAGTGTGCCCATCAACAAAATGGAACTCATGGAAATGCAGTGTGAAATAAATAATGAAATAGTCAATGTTCTTACACAGGAATTTCTACAAGAGAGATCAGGAAAGTAAAGAAGGAGCCTTCATACTACCTATAACAGCCTCAAGTAAACCAACCAAACTCAACGGATTTGTAGACTTAAACAGTTGGTGGTGACGACCCAGCATCCACACTATACACATTCCAGATGCTTCATTTTGAACTAACTCTGATCTGATCCCATGGACTGCATATTTGCTAGCTTTTGGAGAACACTAAGTGCTTTTCTAGGGCACATCTTCCACCTTAGCTTCATCCAAAAAAATACAGTTTATGCTCTCCAAGACTACTACATGATATGAACTGATGAGCAGTATGTTAGGACCATGATGAAACATGCTTCAAAACCCACACTTCATATCCAAATTGAAATGCTAATGTATTCGCATTCTATCCCTCCCTCACAGAGTTTTCCTGCCAAACCAGTCCCAATTCCCTCTTCTAGCTCAAATACAGTTGATTTTTCCCTTTCCTCTCAGACTGTTTCTGACTCCATCTCCCACCCCAGATTCCTTATCTAATCTTAGTCTTCCTCTCTTCCTTCTTTTCCTTGACTCAATGTATCTGTACATCCAGGCCTAGGTCCTCCTCCTTCCTTCTCATATCTGCCTTTCCTTTGCTGTATGAACATAATGTCAAATTTTTCTGTTCAGCTAGTCTCATCTTGTCTTTCCCTCTCCTCAAGTGATATTATCACTCCCAATCATAAGGCTGAAGTTCAGCACAAAATCTCTTCTATAAAGCCTGAATGTGAGGTAGGAGGCATCATAGAGTTCACCTCATGGTACCCATTCTACACTGCAGCAAAGCAGAAAGAGCGAGCAACCTCAAGGCAACTTTTTAATAGCTTAGCTCTGGAAGAGCAACATATTAATTTATTCTAAGGAGATTGCACACATATGATCTGTTTGCAGTTAGGACATGTAACAAGCCAGAGTACACTTAAAAGGACAAGTTTCCTGAAATGTCAGCTGTTAACATCCGAGAAGCCTCTACAGAGCCTGAAGGAAAAGGTGTTGGGTTTTTTTTTTTTTTGAAAGGTTGTAGTAAAATGTGTTCATGTTCACAGATATTGCAAAAGATTTGTCCATGACCAGAAGACCATTGCCTGCCAAATTTCAAATCCCTGATCTGTAATGAAGTCCAACAATGGGAGATGTTAAGACATATTAAAAAACAGGTTTCAGAAATGTTTTGACAGTGGGAAATAACATGTTTTTCTCTGCTGTGTCCTTGAAATATGCTGAGTTGTTTTGGCTGAATTTTCTCCAAAACATTCAGCAACTGGCATAGGAAGTTTCTGACTCAACTACTGAATTTTTGAAAAAAAATCATTCATATAAAGTGAAGTATCAGGCAACCTTGACAATGGGGGTTACTAGATCCATGCATATTGATTTCAAAGAGGGGGAAAAGATGTGAGATAGAAACTTGTCACAAAACTGAGCTGGCTGATGATACTGAACAGGGAGCCTTGTAGAAGGCCTCTGTTTAGATAAATGACCAAAGTGAAATTAGGTTTTTGGTTAAGTGTGCTCAGGAATGATGACATACAAACATGTGACAATAAGTGACCAATGGTAAATCACACAAGTGCCATAGGGAATAAAACGCATGGCAAGAAGTTAAAACAGTTACAAAGCTATCGATATTGAAACATTTGTATGAAGTTTTAGCAAAAAGTCAAGAAAGGTAAAACTTGCAAATATCAAACAGTTTGAGAATCAAATAAGATCAGATTAGGACAAGTTTGCGCCTTCAACTTCACTCCCTATTAAACTCAAACAGAATCTTTTCTTCTTCCTTGGTATCAGGACCAGAACAGTTTCCTACCATGGTGCAGAAAGCAGACACAGGGCCCAATCCTACAGTTTTTCCATGTGCACGAAGTGCAGTGGAGTTAATGGGAGTTCCATGCATATAGTACTAGAAATATCAGGCCCATGATATCTCATTTCCCAAAGGAACGGTACATTTTACGACCTATTACGCTTTTTGTTTGAATATCATTAGTCAAACCTTTAATCATTTTACCAGAATGTTAGAATCTGGCTCGCTAGCAGAAGTTTAACTTACTTCATCTTTCAAAGGCAATTAAGTGTTAGTGAAAAAAAAAAAAGAATTTTTGAAATGACAGCTCATTTCATATTTGCAAAACAGTTAGATTTCTCTCAGTGCTGTTTAGCTTTCTGATCAAAGGCATTCATTTCATGTAAAAACACACAAAAAAAGATAATAACACAAAGTGAGCCCTTTGTGAGGACTTTGCTATCAATGACAAAATTTCTTTTTTTAAAATAAGGATCGAGATTTTTTGTCATAATAAAATCTTTGACTCCTGCTTTCCTTCCAATTCTTTAATTTGTCTCATTGCACAATAAAATTTACATCCTGCTCACAACCTTGCAAGTTCCCTCTTAAATGCATGTCTGTCATGTGTCGATATTTTACTTCTCAACACTAGCTCTGAAAGCTTCCAAATGACTGTTTGGAAGGTATTGTGTCTCCCTTCACTCATACATTAGCCCAAAGAAAGCATGGATTTATTTCCACATTTCATTCACACAGAGGATAATTATACGGAACTGCTTCCATAGTGTTGAAAAACTTGACTCAAAAAAAGATTTGGCACTATAATAATACCAAGAAAATCATCAAAATTTCTGATTTTAGTAGCATCCGTAGTATTTTGCTTATGTGAATAGTATTTCATTCATATAATCTAGCCTACTGCAGTGCAAGCTAAAACCAAAACTTAGCGTAACTGACTTCTTTCCCCAAAATACTCTTTCTTCATCTTTAATTTTAAAGAACGCTTCAAGAGCCACTGAAATATGACACAGAAAACAGTGAGCCATGGGTATTCTTCATAACCTGGTCAAGGCAATGGGAGACTTTTTATTAAGCGATGTCAGCTGTAGTCAGCTCTTACCCAAGTGAGAATACCACAAGTGAATTTAATATTTTCTGTTGCAAAATGACAGTTCCAAAACCAGATCCTTCTTATCACTTTGTCTTTACTGTACTTACATACTAAGCAGCAATTAAATGTGAATCTCTGTTTCACTTAGCATGAACTATTCAACCAGATTTACAAATTCAACAAGTTTAGTTTGGGTTTCCTTAGAACTAACTGAGGTGCCCCCAGGAATTGTCCTTCTCCAGGAGAACCTCTGTTGCTGGTAAAAGGTAATGCAATTCCTTTCTGTTCCAGCTGACATTCACATCAGAGAGGGGAAGAGCTATTTTTTATATATATAGACCTATATAGCTCTATCTATCTATATGTAGCCACACAAAACAAATACAACCTGGTAATAGTACAAAAACATTATCCAGCCTTTACTGCTTCGAAAGTGCTTGCTCTGTACTGATCCGAAGCTCTGAGTGTTTGATAAGATAAAGTGAATTAAAAGTGGTCCTCCAGTAAAACTCTTTTTCAGCTCACTTCAAACATTCAGGATATTTCCTCAGTGTTTCAGAATGAAAAACTTTACAAATTACTGAAGTACATTCTCCCATCCATGAAAAAGGCCTGTAGTAAATGCAAGGCAAAGGTTGACACTGATAGCCCATCTGGTAAATAAAAAAAAGTTCTTTGACTTGTGCAAAGTTATTCTGTGTCTTTAAAAGATTTTGCCACAAAAAAATGCGCTTCTTTATTTAGATTACCATTTTTATACATATGTATTGAATGACAGAAGTTATGCACCTGCACAGTGTAGGACAGCCTAACTCGAAACCTTGTAGATCAATACAAGTGATCACACTGTAAGGTAATAAGTATGAAGATAGCATATGCTACACTTCAAGTTACATCCACATTGAAGCATACTGCAAGAAGTGACATTAGAAAAACCCATGGAAATATTTTTATATTCCACAATAAGAATTAAGCATGATTCAATATACAACAGCTCTTTCAAAGTCAGGGCACAAGTGAAATCTTTGCAGGCTGAACTATAATACTAATATATATGCAGCTGTCAAAGGCAGGTGCTTCATCCATTTAAAAAAAATACCTGCTTGCATTTGAACTTTGAGTACTAACTTTACTCTAAGAGCACCAGATCATGACCCTTGCATCTTGTGGCTCTGCAGGAAGGTAACAAACCCCAAAGGCTCCATCTCCATGTGACAAATGAATATTGTGAGTTCAGAAACTCAAAAAAACAGATGTAAGGCAACTATCTCACAATAAACACGTGGGACATATGCTGTGAGATTACAGGGAGCATCCACCTTTTTGAGGGTGGAAAGCACAATTGTCAGAGGTGAGCCTCTATTGACAAACCTTGCCTGGATATCAACATAGCCAGACTCTTAAGACTCCAGTAAAGGGTGTAATTCTGATAGCCTCTCTCTCACATTTTCAATACTACTGAGACCTATAGAGTTATTCATAGTAAGATGTTAATTATTTTGAGAAAGAATGGCAAAATTTGAGCCAAACACACACACAAAAGAATAAAGTATTATTCTCTTTCACCTTGTGCTTTCTGTACCATACAAGTAGTTAATTTGCCTCTGAAGTTCAACTGTCTTTAGACACTTAAAAGAAAAAAAGAAAAAAGAAGCAAAGTTAAGTTGAAAACCAGGCATTTTAAATCACAGGCCACAATTTCCATAAAACCATCTATAAGATGTTTCCACGATTTAAAAACATTGCTGCAACATCACATATATTGCAACGTAAGGATACCCTCTAAAATAAGATGTGCATCTTGATGGTTATTCCTGATAGAATGAATTGAGTAGCTCTATTAAAAAAAAAAAAGCATATCTCAAATTCTTTCCTAGCTATACCCTAATGTGTGGTATCCTTCATGGAATTTCAATAGACTAATCTAGCACAGACTTTAGAATAAGTAGCTTTGGAAAGCTGCAAACAAGTACATAGCGAAAAGGTCAATATTCTGTTAATATACAAGCAGAAAACATAGTCAAGGATAAATTATCACAGGATCAATTTGCAACCTACTTTTTTCTGGTGAGACATGTGCCTTAGTTTGTCCCCTCACAAGCCTGCATGTTGAACCATCTCCTGCACAGATTCCACAGTTGTCTTCCTTGGCATTGCTCCCAAGTTGTCGATCACAGCCTACTGCCTGCCAACATCAACACCACAGTCAGAAGGAGGGCAAAGCTGTAGTAGACATGCTCAGGTTTCTGGAATTTTATTTATTATGTTATCCATTTGATTTTATGAGCTGGCCTCATTCTTTCAAAGCATATCTTGCTATTTAGGATTTTAAAAGCACACTGTCATTTCCATTATTTTAATGATGAACCACAACAACTGACATATTAAGCTATTCAAGCACAGGAAATACACGAATCAATCTCCCACCATTTGTGTGAATGAATAACATTGAGCGTTATTCTTTCCAACACAAGGGACAACTATGTTATTTACAATTTGGTTTTTATCACCTGTTTAACTATGTCTGAGAAAGTATTAGTGCAATGAAATAACCCAAGCTAAATATTTAAAGGGCACTCGGCCTTCAGCTTCACAGGCGAGCAGCTGTTGGGCAGTGCTTATAGTCTAGTGTCTTGGCCATTCAAAATTTAACTGGCATTTGAGCAGATCTCCTATTTGCCATTCACATCAATGTCAACTACATACATTTACTAACCAGGTTTTAAAAATCTTGGATGATTCATTTATCATATTTTGATTTTTTTATTTCTGAATATGAGACCTGATCTATAAAGCTTTCCAATAATTTTTATTATTTTTTTACACCCGAAATTAAATACTGTCAAAAATTCCAAAAGTAAAGTTTTTGAAAAACTATCCATTGAAAATTCTGCAAACTATAAAGGAAATATTTTTCCAGTTTTTTCTTTTTCTTCTTATCCGTCACCCTACAAGAAGCATGGGAGTGAGAATGGGAAGACAAATAGACAACATTGACAAAAAGCACCTTATTGCTGAAAGGGTGATAAATATCTGGTCTCATCTATCTTACCCTTCACTGTTTTGTAGATGAAATTTGCAGGGAGTACCAATTGCTGAGCAGTGTGTTAAAAAGCTAATCTGCAGCTTCAAATTTTCTCAAGTAAGCCTATGCACCTCTTCTATCCACACATCCCCGAGAAGTGCAGCTAATTAGTCATCGACATATATGTTTAAACGAACTCCAAGCTGACAAATGGATAGAAAGCCCTCTGGAAATTCAGAGTTAAAAGCCATGCTAGAATTCTGAAATTGGCCAGCACACTCCTCTTCCTATATAAAAATGCTTGGAAGGGGCAAGTCTTAGCTGCCAAGATCCACCGCATCTGTGCTATGCCAGAACTGACACACGAGTCCGCACGTAAGAGTCAGGGTTGGGTCTTCCAGTCTCTGAGTTAACACACACACCACACAAATCATGCACATCCGCTGCCAAACATGGAGAAATGTAATCTTGAAGCTTCATGTGTCTATAGGAAAGACTGCTAAGCAGCTCCAACTCCCACTCTTGCCCCTTTCCCTTTTTTTGTCAATTTCCTACATTCTGCATTCTCTTAAGACAAGGGCATTATGGACGACAGTTTATGGTACTTCAGTTGAGAGAGATGCCACCCTGAACAGCATCTCCTTACTAAAGGGTTCAGATTTACCATAGAAATCTACATTAGCAGCAAGAAATTATTTTATTCCTGCAACTGGAGACCTTTATCCTATGCAGTCCAGCAAAGAATTCATTAAAAAAAAAAGCAGTTAACCTGAAATGATTTAATGTTGAGTGTTAATTAAAAAAATCAGTTGTAAAAACAAAACAAATTAACACACACGTGTGTGAAATCAGACCATCTCAGAACAGGTGCTTATTTACTACATAGAAGCTATGCAGGAACACCATAGTATAATTTCGTATTGGATTAAAGATTAAAATGTTTTCACTTGAAGATGTTTTTAAATATTAGCTCTAGGTTCATTACTGACATCCAGAGAACAAAAAAAAAAAAGAAAATGATTGTAAATAAATTATTCTAAACAAGCTTATCTTCCCATTTTATCGTCAGTTACCATTGATAAATGAACAAAACCACCACCCTTTCAGAAACAGAAACTGACGGGGCCACTGTGTGAATCAGAAAGCAGATAAAATTTTGAGGGATGTAATAATGCAGTGCTCGACACACTGGCCTTAGACTTGACAACTCTCTAAGTTCCCAGCTCCACAACAGACTTTCTTTTTGACCTTTGAAAACTTCCTCTGCTTTTTCGATTCCAATCTGTGAAAGGGGTATAACTGCAACTCCCCACCTCACAGGGATGTTGCAAGAATAAATCTCCTAGAGATTATGAAACATTCAGATGGTGCAGTGATGAGGAACATACCAGTAGTTGAGAGAGTCTATATTTCTCTCTGGTAGACTCTTAAAGTATTTATTGCTCTCCGCTGCTTCTCCTGCTCTTATTCACATAAAGACACTACTAGCGCATGGAGGTAAATTGTTAGAACTACCGCAAGCATAATCTCTCCCTAGATCTCACAAACACGTTTCCATTCCATAGTGTAATCTCATTTTTTAAATATTAAGAATCTGTTTATCCACTCATCAATTAATTCTTAAAGGAAAACTAAAGCTGCACATTGTGTTACTCTGTGTGAGAAATTGCTATTTTTATTCATTTAAGCTGTTGCATATTTGTAGGCTACAGATCCTGCAAGCCTTTGGTGGGAGGAGCGTATTGAGCAAACAGAGTACTTGCAAGACCAGCCCATTAAAGTCCAATATGATAACAATAAACATACATACTGAGCTATTACACACAGTCACCACAAAAACAAACTCTCATTGCATATCACAAGAATTATACAACTGTGCAAACACAAGGCACTATTGGGTCCAACACGGAATGTAAGAAAAAAAGATAATCAGCACAGCAGCATACCTCAGAGGACTGTTTCATACAGTATTATTGCTTATTTTTTAATAATACACAAATGCCACAGGAAGAAAACAAGAGTGCTGGCTGCAAGGGACTTGGATATGGGATAAGCTTTACGGTTCCCCTGCCAGCATCTATGTTTGGCTAGATGCATTGATCCTCTGTGGACCTCCTTCTGACATTATGTTTATATGAACTGCTATGAATATGAGTATCAACCACTGATATCCTGGAACATAATTTAGAAAATAAGTCAGCTTAGTATCACAATGTAAGTCTGAAACGAGCACAGATTTTCAGGTTTTGTTTAACATGAAGCACCCAAAGATTCTGCAGGTTTTAATGTGACAAGCCTCAAATTTAGAGCTAATTCAATGAGTGTTGCCACCCTGGGAACTTCATGAGCACACACTAGGGTGGGGTGTATTTCAAACCTAAGTGTCTAGGCTTAGCCTTTTTTATTTGTTTGTAAAACCTTGATAGGAAGCAGTATTTCTCAGAGAAGCTGAGCAGCCATGGATCTAACCAAAACAACAAGAAGCTGCAAGGTATAGCTTTGGAAATCAGGCCTTGAACACATATGGTGTTTCAACACGAAGCATTATGCATTTAAGGTATTCATATTTTAGCCAATAACTATTAGAAAAACACAGTGTTTGATGAAACGTTTTGTAGAAAGTACATGCATGTTTACAAGCAAAGCTGTAAAACAGACAAGAAAGTGATATATGGCAGTAGCCTTCCTCAGCTCACATACCATCTCAGGAAGCCAAAGAGGTCTGAAGATTTTCACAATTAAGGCATTTGTTAGAGTTAATTTACCCTACATTGCTCACTGTTTACAGAGCAAAGGGATCAGCTATAAATATTGCAGGTAGATTGGGAAAACATCCACAGACTTTTAGGGCATAGTCAGAAATAATTATATTAGGTGATTTTAATGTAGTTTGCTTAAATGAAATAAGTGATAATGCAAACAGTGTAATGAAAGGATTGGGAAGCTGTCAAGTTAAGAAATCTGTGATCATAAATACCATCGTTCAAATAAATGATACAAGTATTACAATGACTAGGTAGTGAGCTTCTCAGACAAAGAGAGAATATTGACCACTATGTAACAAAATGAACAGTAAGTGGAAATTTTATATTAAAAAGGTATTGAGAAAATGAGTACTTTGTGCATTTAATAAATCAGCCATGATTGGGTATCTGTGAATTTGGATATGGCATGATTATTTTCACAAACAGGTGTCTGATCTGTTACTATTTTAGAACATTATCTGAATATGTTATTTGGCTGTGTTATTCCAAAGAAAAAAAATAGAAATATGAAAAAGAATATTACTGTTTGACAAAACAAGCAGCTAGGATAGAAACCATCTGATTAAGCAGTGAACAGAAATGCTCATCTGCTTCAAAAACTTCTAAACTACATGCTAGCACGCCAGTGCTATTGTGAAAGACAATACTGAAGGGTGTTAAATATTTTGTAGCATGTTTAGAATAGTTTGTGTAAGTTCAGAAAGGCAAAAGGTCAGGGTATAAAATATCGTAATACAGATGAAAGAAAAATGAAATTGCTGCTGATATGTTAGATTTGACTATGGAATGTTACAAATATTTTTGCAAATATGAACCCAAAAATCACTCAGAAGCTCCCACAGCTGTTTCTTTAGCTCTTATTCACTTACTAGAGTTTCATCTGAGGAATTAGACTCAAACAAAGAAATTAATATAGCATATTAATTTTGATTTGTGAAGGTCAAAGCATAATCTGTTAAATTCAAGGATCTTCCTTTCTTAAGATGATGTTTATAATTAACTATCATGAGAAAATGGACAGGACCGGAAGGTGACAGATTTTTTAACTAAGATTCCAATATAGCAAAAAAAGCACTGTAGTGAAAAATCCTACCAATCTCAAATCGCCTTCAGAGTCTTCTCTTAATAAACATAAATACAAACATGGACTAGAATCACCAATGCAGTGCCCAATGAGGATCAGGTTTTGAAATTTCAACTGTTGTTCATTAGACCATAGCTTTAGACCTTCTTAGTTTGCTGTTCCCTCAACTGACCACTCACCTCCCACCCAAGGCACTCTCTCTCAAAACTGGCACAACACTATTTTTTGTAGAACACGTTCCATAGAGGTGAGTTGTCAATTATAAAAATGTTATATGTCAATTATTAAAAAAATGTTTCTGGGATGCTAAT